GGGATGAAAGAAAATAGAGCTGTTCCATCTGGCACCAAAGTGCCAGCTGCACTTTAGAGACCCGTCGAGTAATAATAATAATGACTACTGTTTATTGAGTGATTATTATCTGCCAGTCACTGTTTAAGTGCTTCATCTGTATTGTCTCATCTCATGTTCACAGGAACCCTATGAGGTAGGTAAACTATGATTATCCTCAGTTTATAAATGATGAAATGAGGACAGGTGGCACAAATAGAAGGTCTCTGGACCCTGTCCATCCCAAGATGATTGTACCTTGAGTCAGAGAGTTGGATTTTCTGTTCAGACAGGGTTGAGTGCAATGGAACATTATGGTGTGGTGGTGAAGTATGTAGACTCTGGGGCCAGGCGGGATTTTTACCCCATGTTGTCACTTACCAGTTTTGTGACCTAGGACAAGTTGCTTTACTTCTCTCATCTTCAGTATCCACAGCTAAAAAATGAAGGTAATAATGATATCCTACACCATAGAATTATTATAAGGATGAAATAAGTTAATATGTGTGAAATACCTGGAACAATACAATGCCCTGCACTTAAGTGGTCAGTGTTAGCCAAAAAAAGAAAAAGCTCATATCACCCAGGACTCTAAGGATATAAGTGACAGAACCTTAGTTCATTCTGGTTTAATCAAAAAAAGAATTAATTGGCTGATGTTACTGAAAAGTCCAAAGCTAGGTGGCTTCAGACCTAGCCGCATTGAGGACATGAAACAGTCTTCTCAGTGATCTCCCTCCATTCCTCCAGTGAGTTAGCTTTACCTTCAACAAGTTTCTGCTTTGCGACGTCAAAGATGGCCCTCAGCCACCCCAGGCTTAAATCATATTTCCTTAGCCGCTTCAGTGGAAAGAGAACTCCTTCTTGAGAGCCTCAGTTTGAAAACAGTTTCTTGCCTGAATAAATGTGAGATGATGGCAAAAGATCCTTAGACACGTTCTGGGTTCTGTACCCTGGAACTCTTGCTTGCTGTGCCAGATAGTACCATGATTCCACCCCATGACCTTTCTGAGCGTCGATGGGAGTTCCCCTCCCCACTGTCACCCAGCCCCAGTCATTCTCCGTTCTGTGACTGTTTGGATCCAGAGAGAGTTTGTGGCTAGTCTCACCCAACCAGACTTCCCTTTGGGGTCTCACTGGGAGACCCCGGAATGAGATGACTGGCCTGGTTTGGTGGTGGCCTCAGGATAGTGGAATCCAGGAGTACTGGTATTCAGTCCACTGCCTCGGCTTGGGGTTTCCAAGGCTCAGAACTTGGGAAGAAGGTTACGTAGATTACTGTGAGTAGAGTTTTGTTTTTTTAGTGTAATCTGTTGAATAGAGTCTGGTTGAGGGTGAGTTACAGAATAGCAGTGTATAGAGTATGCAAGCTGCAAGTGTCTCCAGCGATTAAACAATTTCTGGAGGTACTTTTCTAGGTACTAGAGAGAGAGCAGTGAATGAAACAGTCACGGTCTTGGAACTCAGGAGCTTATATTCTGATGGAGGAAATATAAACAAACAAATCAGATAGTGATATGTGCGATGAAGGAATTGAGACATAGTGTGAAGGAGAGGGTGGGGGAGGCCACTGTTCACAGGGTGGTCAGAATTGCCCTCTGAGGAGGTGGCACTTGAGCCTGATAAGCCGACCGATGAGAAGGCACCAGTTGTGGGAAGATCTGGGACTGGGGCGTTCTGCTCTAAGCATCGTTGTATGTGGGGAAGGACTGCTGCGAGCGGGGGCAGTTTTTACAGGTAGTTTTGAGGGGCTGCTGTGTGCCAGGTGCTGTGCTAGCAATTGAAAACGTGGCAGTGAATAATACAGCTGCAGTCTTGTCTTCCCGCGTGGATCTTACAGTCTAGGTGATTCTGGAAGAGCTGGAGCCTTTGAAGAGACACCTTTTGACGATGACATCAGGCCAAAGGTTCTTTCTTACTGGGGAAATGAGGAAGATTGGGACATACTTGAACCCAGATCTGATCGATGAGAAAGAACCAGCCGTGTGATGATCTGGGCAAGAGCGTTTCAGGTGGAGGGGTCAGCAGGTGCAAAAGCCCTGAGGTATGTTCAAGGAACAACAAGGAGACCAGTGTGGCTAGAGCGTAAGTGAGGGAGACGGGGCAGGGGGTTGGAGAAGGTGACAGAGGCCAGATCATGTAGGGCCTTGTGGGCCGTGGTAAGGAGTTTACATTTTCACTTACGAGGACTGGGAAGCTGTTACAGGGTTTTTAAAGCAAGACAGTGACATGATCTGGTTTTTTGGTTTGTTTTTTTATTTGTTTGTTTTAGAAAGTTCGCTGGTTTCTGCAAAGAAAATGGGCAAGAATGAAAGCAGGAGGCAAGTTAGGAGGAAATACATTTGTCCGGATGAGAAAGGATGGTGACTTGAATATGGCGGTGGTAGTCAAAATGGAGAGAAGCAGATATATTTTGGGTAGAGAGAAAACAACTTGATGATGGAATTAGAGAGGAATCCAGGGTGATGACAATAGCTAAGACCTGTGTGAGAATATTTATGTCTCACAACTCTCTAAGAATAGGTACTATTATGAAACCCATTTTACAGATGAGAAAACAGGCACAGCAAGGTGAAATCGCTCTTCTAAAAAATTAGGCGGGTAGTAAGTGGTAGGGTTCTGTTTCGAACCCAGGCAGTCTGGTCCCAGAGCCACTTGAGTTTTGGGAGAGAAAAAGGAGGGCATGTTTAGCTGAATTAAGAAATAAGGATTGTCAAGACCAGATGACTAGATCTTATGGAAGAGAAAGGAGTCAAAGATGACTTAAGAAATTCTGAGTTGTCCACAGAGAGGTGATAGTTGAATCTGCAGGAGTTGATTACAATTCCAAGTGAGATGATACGAGTATAAAGAAGGGAAAGAGAGCCAAAGATAGAGTTTTAGAGGGGAGGGGCAGTACATTTAGGTGTGGGAGGAGGGAAAGACAGAGCAGATAGAGTGGCGGGAGGGGGAACACCAGCTTCCTCTCCTCAGGGTTTCCCAGAGCTCCCCAGGCTGTGCTGCTCTTCCAGGAGGCCCTGCCTGGCTTCTCCCCTCCTCTCCCTCCGTTCCCCAGGACAGTTCATACAAACGCTTATTCTTGTCTGGGCCAATAGCATACATATTTTGTGTACATTTCGTGTTCAGGAGTTTCTGAAAATAATAGTTGGTTTTTACAAGAGCAAAGTTGGGCTCTCGGCATCTGACATTCTCCTGTTCTCAGGTCAGGATAGTGAGTTACCCTTAGGCAACTAAGGTTCATGAAGTATGAGTTCCTCAAAAGTCTAGGTGGGTGCTGTAGAAGGGTGAAGAATGGGTGGGAAGGCTGACCCCTTTATTTCTCCAGAGATGTTGGCATTGGAGGGTGTACCTTTAACCCAACTTTCTAGGCAGTGTAAGGGAGCTTATAGGAGGCCGTAACACTATTCTCAGGAACAAGCAAGAGCTCTAAAGCCAGACTGGCCTTGAACACCTCAGCTGTGTCCTATGAACCTCTCAGCTAAGTGACTTAACCTTCTCTGCCTCAGTTTCTCCATCTGTAAAAGGAGGATAATATTATATATGTATATATGAGATGGATATAGAATATAGGAATATAATTTTTAGGATCAAATGAGCTCATCCACGGAAAGCTGTTAGCACAGGACCTGGTGCATGACACTTAATATATGATATATGAAGACATGCTGAGCATCATGCTGGGTATTTTTATATACCTTGTTTCATTTCGTTCTTAAAACAAGCTTTACTAAAGAAGAAACTGAGGTACTTGTCAAAGGTCAACACAGCAAATAAGTATCAGCAGGAGAGCCCGGGTTGCAGCGGGGTCTGACCGACTCCACAGTGCTGCTCAGAGGAGGAGAGCTGAGCTCCAGGGGTGCCTCCTGTCTCGGCGCCGCTTCTCAGTTTGCATCTAAGGACAGAGCCTAGTGGGCAGTTTTTCCTGGCACCTCAGCCAATTTTTGGCTCCATTTGCCACCTCCAAGGTTGGTAGATGCTTCCCAAGAAGGTTGCTGGTCCCAACCAAATGTGGCAGCAGTATGTTAGGCTGTTTGAGAGACTTTTGCAATAGGGGTTCCCCTCTAGTGTCTTTCCTCAAAGGCATGGGGGCCTTTTGGGTCACATGAGGACAGAGACCAGAGCAATGGTGAACTCCGTTTTGTATGGGAGCAGTCATGGCTCTTCAAGTTGTAGAAACCCAACTCGAACTGGCCTCAGCCAAAAGGGAATTGATTGGTTCAAGTAACTGAGAAGTTTAGGGCGGGAAGGGTGCGGTGGAGGGGCTTTAGGCTGACTGGATCCAGGTCTTCAAATGATGTGGACACGTCTGCATTTTTTCCCTACGTCTCTTGACTCTGCTGTCATCTGTGTTAGCTTCATTCTGAGGCAGGTTCTCACACTGTGAGGTAGCAGGAGTGGCACCCAGTAGCATCAGATCTTGGATAATCTGAGCAACCCTACCCGAGAACTTCTTTCCCCCAGTAGTTCCAGCAAAAGTCCACTGAGGGCTTTCCTTGGCCAGGCTTCACTCCATATCTACTCCTGGAGCCAAGGGAGACAGTTAGTTCTCCAAAGGGAACTCGGGGCTGGCCCAGAAGATGGGAATGGATGTTTGGGAGGCAGATCCACCAGGATGCATCACCGCAGTATGCTACCACAGTACGATGCCTTGGATAGTCAGTGCTGGGGCCTCTTCCCTGACCGATCGCACCAAGCCAGCTCTTCCTTTCTCACTGTTGCCAAGCACCCAGGAGAGGCGGTAGCTGGGGGCCTCTGGCCCTTCCATGGAAGCAGGCCATCCAGTCCTCCTCTCCAGTCACCATCAAGACTAAACACCCAGCATCCTTCTCCTGCCCAGAAGACATAGGAATCCTTCTCTTAGGGATTTTTTTGGTTTTTTTCTTTTTTGTGGTGAGGAAGATTGGCCCTGAGCTAACATCTGTGCCAGTCTTCCTCTATTTTGTATGTGGGATGCCGCCACAGCCTGGCTTAATGAACAGTATGTAGGTCCATGCCCAGGATCCAAACCCACGAACCCCAGGCCGTCCACCACTGGGCCAGCCCCTGGGGATGATTTTTTAACAGTGCACTCTTAAAAGTGACTATTTGTTTCCCTGGTTCCCCCAGTGTTTACTGAGGGCTGTCCAAGCCATCTTCAGACACTAGGTCCTCTCTAACGGTCGTGTTCCCTGAGCAGTGGGGTGGCTTGGAGGTGTAAACCAGAGAGGCCCAAGGGAGGGATAGTTTGCAGACTTCTGATCTTTTCTCAGTTTGTGTCCATCTGGTCCAAGGACCACAGGCCGCAGGCTTTGTTTGTTCTGTATAGTACTTTTTTGTTGCTCTTTTAATGTGAATTAGTTTCCACCATTTAAAAATAAGGGAATTTTATTTAAAAATCTAGATTTCTGGCTCTACTTAAAAAAAAATCTAAGACCTAACAGCACCGGCCCCACATTCCTACATGGCGGGAGTTGATTAGAGCTAAACGGTGAGTTCTCCTTTTAAACAGGGGATGTGCTTTCCAACTCACCATAGTCTTCACCAGCCTGCTTTGTTCCCACCTGGCCCTGTAAGCGTCGTGTTTGAGACCCTGCTCTGTTCCAAGGCTACACTTCGAGCGTTGGGCTTGGGGGAAGAAGCTGAATTGATGTTTAGTCAGCAGCTTATTTGGGGGGCACCACGCTGTTGCTTAGGAAAAGTAACAACTTGGTAAAAGTTTATGAGACAGAGTGCGCACCGCTTTGGTCTGTTTTTGGGTTTGGTCATCTTTTTGCTGTAAATGCTGTTGGCATATCAAACCTCTGGACACAAACGCTCCCTCTGAAATAGCAACATGCCCTTTCTCTCTGATGAGTTGCCACCCCGTGAAGGAATCCCTCCCACTCCCGAGGGATGTTCATCCAGCCTCTGCTTGACCACTTCCAGCGGCCAGGGAGCTTATTACCTCCTCACTCGGCAGCCAGTTCCATTCTTGGACAAATACGTTATTTTAAAATTCTTCCTTATGTTAAGGCAGCTGCTGTCTCCTTGGGGCTGAAAGCCGCAAAATGTTGGAGCTGGGAAGGGAAACTGGTTTTTTCAGGCACGTGAGCTACCACTCATCCATCCTGCATCCAGGGCAAACACTGATAGTCAACCACAGTACTCTTCCTCACTGAGCCAGAAAGTAGAATACAGCCTTAAAATTTTTTAAAAATTAAAGACTTTTTAAAAAATTACAGAAGTAATATGTGTTCACTTGCCACTAGTGAAAAAGTACAAAGTTATATAAAGAAAGCGTTAATAATTCCTCTTTTCTCCAAGGTAGCCAGTATGAACAGCTTAGGGTGTATCCTACACGTTTCTCTATACACATACATATATAGATACTCATATATGAGATATATAAGGGTTCTTGTTTATGGCTTTTTTTCTTTTTACAAAAATGGCATCGTATTGTACCTATTACTGTGCAGCTGTGGACATCCCTCCAGGTCGGTAAAGATCAAACACTAGATATAGATTTTTTTTTTATATTCTGCTGTCAAGATCAAGCATGTTTTTAACAGCTGCATAATATCCCATTGTATGAGGTGTGCCGCAATTTGTTAATCATTCCCCATTGATGGATATTCCCCTTGCTTCATTTCTTCAGGATCCTCCTTACCACAGTGCTCCAGGCAGCCAGTACCAATCGATTGGAGTTAGCCTCTGAGGTACAGCCCGTTTGTCACATCTAAACCAGTCCAGCTCCTTATCTCACACGGCCTAGGGGAGAGAAGCAGACTAGCTCAAAGATCACAGTGAGTCAGTGACTGGGGCAAGACTAGAGCTGCATTTTCTTGACTTCCAGCGTTGCACATATCCCATGTTGCCTCTCACTTAGAGCTGTCAACCCTAGTTCCCCTCTGGAGGAAAAGAACAAATCTGATTCCTCTTTCGTGTGCTCCCGCTTCAGGTACTTGAAGCCAGTTATGTCATTCCTCCCGAGTCTTCTCTTCCCCAGGGGAAATTGCCTCGAAGCTTTCAAATTTTTCTTAGGACAAGGTTTCCAAATCCTTTACCATCCTGTGGGCCATTTCTTCTATTTTCTCACCTCGGGCTGTAGAAATCCCAAGTGGGGCTTTCATGCTTACCTTCTTTATTCATTCATTCAACAAATTGATACTGGGTGCCTTCTACATGTCGGTCACTGTTCTGGGCACTCAGTGACTGAATAGCTTGCATTTTGGTGGGAAGAGAGAAACAACAAACATAAATAAGATGGTTTCTTGAGGGTGCCAGATTATATAGAAGAGATGAAACAGTGTAATATAATAGAGTGACAGAGCTTCCTTAGATTGGATGGTCAGGGGAGATCTCTCTGAGGAAGTGACATTGAGCTGAGACCTGAGTGATGCATAGGAGCCAGCCATAGAGAAGTCTGGGGGAGGAGGGTTTCGTTGAACCAGAAAGAACTTGGTACAAGATGCTGTTTGAGGTGACCTTAAATCCTCCGTCGGAGCATTTTAAGCCAGGGAGGCAACATTTGATTTCCCTTTTACAAAGGTTTCTGGGAGACCTGTTTACCTTGGAGCATGGTTTCATTTTCCCCACACTTTTCCTTTCTGCTTGTATCCAAAGGGGTTGACATCCAAGCCAGTTCGCTCTGTTCGGGTGGCCCACAGAGGCTCTGCGAGGTGAGTCACAGCCCTCAGCAGGAGCGTGGAAGTTCGGGGAGATGGCAATAGCCCCTGAGACCTGAGCTCAGCAGGTTCAATGGGTCTTTGTATGGAGCTCTCAGTTTTGGCAGCCAGAGGGGGTTGGAGCCAAGTGTGGTTTGGGGACGGAGCCAAGGGCACTGGTCTCAAGAGAGACACAGGAAATGTGAGTGTAGACCTGGACTTCGAGACACTTGAGCAATCAGCTGAAGAATGGACCTGTTGTCTGCCCAGTTGACACAGCTCCTGTGGGTTTTAGCTTGAAATAATGTAGAGTCCATAAGGTCCTTTTAGCAGGTGAACAGTCAGGCTGTTATGCTCTCCAGGGAGGTGGCCAGAGATCAGCAAGGTCAGGGCATGTCCTGAAGGTCACATGTCTGTTTAGTCATGTCACGTGAGGCCAGGTCTCCATTAATTGAGATCTTTTCCCACAGTGTGCACCCTCTCCTATTTCCCATTTCTGCAAAATCTTACCGACTTACTCTCTGCTTTAAATGTACTGCCTTTGGCCACATGACAGCTAGCCCTGAAGGGCACCATCTTCTTAGTCTCTAGGATAGGTTTCTGAGAACCAATCAGGCCTTTCCTCTGGATCTGGAGATTAGAGGGAAAGTTGATTTAGTGTCTGGTGTTGGTTTTATTCTTCTCTCTCAAGCTCAACAGAGTAGGTACCCTGAAAGGAAAGCAGGAAGCCACCTTACCCCCAACTCACAATCACTAGGCCATTTTTAGCCCCTTCATTGTATCTGACCCCCTTACTTCCTTTTCCAGGAGTCTGGAGAGGCGTGGCTGGACCAAGACCTCCCCCAATGTGAGCAAGTTTCCTCCCTCCCCGCCACCCATTGCCGCCACGCCAGGGAACGTCCTCAAGCCCTGGCCTTCAGGGGAGAGGTAACAGGAGCCCGGAGCCGAGACCATGTGACGGCGCTGGCCCTCGCCACCGCCGTCACCCCCACCCTGGCCCCAGGCCCGGCACCATGATGTTCCGAGACCAGGTGGGCATCCTCGCTGGCTGGTTCAAGGGCTGGAATGAGTGTGAGCAGACGGTGGCCCTGCTGTCGCTTCTGAAGCGGGTCACCCGCACCCAGGCCCGCTTCCTGCAGCTCTGCCTGGAGCACTCGCTGGCAGATTGCAATGACATCCACCTGCTGGAGTCGGAGGCCAACAGTGCTGGTGAGTGTTTACCCCAAGAGATGGGAGTACTGCAGGAGGGAGTCCTCGAACCGGAATAGATGTCAGGTGGCTGAGGAGGCCTCCCCAGCCCTGGTGCTAAGAAATGTGGGTTCTAGGCTTGTTTGGTGGGTGGGGAGTCCTTGACCTCCCAAGTCATCATCGTGGGTCTCCTGGGGCTTTGCTGCCAGATATCCTCAGGCATGGAATGGGGGACTCCTGGGGAGTGCGGTACAAACTGGAGACCACCCACAGCAGAAAAGGGGTCACACAGGGTAGCTGAAGGGAAGAGACTAAAGTCATGAGCTATGAACAGGGGTCAGAAGTGAGTGTTAAATCATTTCTCAAGCTCTAGGACATCGGAGCCAGGAGGAAGTTTCAGAACTTTTCCAAAATCACAAGTCATCTCGTACTATTCTTTACCCCCAAGTGCAGGCTGGACTTAAGGCATGAACAGCTTCAAGAGAGTTTTGCATTTAGATATAGTCCGTATTGGTTCCCCAAGCACTCAGTAGAGAGGCACTCTGTCTCATGAGGTTGGTGGTGGCATGGGTGAGCCAGGCTTCTCTAGAACCTCTCCCTAGGGCCCCAGTTGTAGACAGGAGTCAGGCCAGAGAACCATTTCAGGGGCACTGCCGAAGCCTTTCGGGCCTCTGGGCCTCCTCAGGGCTGCCTGGAAAGCTGTTGACCTCGTTGATGGGTGAGAGATGGAGGCCAGAGAAGAGGGCAAGTCGTGCGCACCTGAAAGCTAGCTGGGGAGGGGGTCCAGGGCCTCCGTGTAGAGAGTGTCCAAACTCTTCCCACCTTCTTCATAATAATTGAACCCTTACAACAAGCCCAGTACTGGCTTCACTTGGATAGTGGCTTTGAAAGCAGCTCTAGAGTCACACTGTCTAGGTTTAGATCTCAGTTCTGTCACTTGCCATATAACCAATAACTTAACCTTTCTGAGCCTTGGCTTCCTTCTCTTTAAAATCAAGGTGATAACTATGCTTACCTTCTAGGGTAGTTGTGAGCTCTGAGGACAGTGCCTGGCATGTAGTAAACGATCAATGTCATTTGTTTTTATTGTCAATAACTCATTTGGTCCTCAGAACAACCCAATGAAATAGGCACTGTTGTTATCCCCGTTTGATAGTGAGGAAATCAGCATGGGCTGCTAGGCTTGGGATTTGGGGAGCTCCCTGGCTTCCCTCATCCCCCTGGGCCCGCCTGCCTTAGCAACGATCACCTTTATTTTACCGAGTTTTTAGTACAAGTCGCAGAAGTACCATGGTTGCAGGGGAGAAGGAGTCAGGCCAGGAGTCACACCAGCTTATGTCCCAGTCTGGCAGAGAATGAGCAGCAGGAACCCAGCTGGGCTGCAGCAGGCTCAGAGCTCAGCCACCTCACAGCCCTCCGACCCTCGGCACCAGGGAGGGCTCCCCCCGTGCTAGCCCCAGGGGCGGGGGTTCCGCGATTGTGGTGTGGCTCTGCCCCCAGAGTGGGGGCTCCTCTGCAGCAGGCCAGTGTCTTACGCAGCTTTGTCACCCTTCCCCCCCACCACCTCCCGAGTAGCGGTTGGATGAGCACTGGTGCTCATCTTGGCTGTATATCAGAATCACCAGTTGTGCTGATTGCTGTTTATTAGAGCATTTTTAGTTTTTGCTTTTGTTTTCAAGAGTTGTAGTAGAATCGAACCCTATGAAAGGTGGAAAGTGAGGTCTCCTCCCTTCCGTACTTCCGTGTTCCCAGTTTGTGTCTGTTTTGTGAGATATTCTGTGCATGTGTGAGCACATGTGTGTTCTCCCTCCAGCTGTTCCATTGTTCTGTTTTAATGTGTAGAGCAGAACACTGCATATTAACCAATTTGCTTTTTTACTTAACAATATAACTTGAAGATCCTTCCGTATTCAGCACATACATAAATACCTCATTGTTAATGGCTGCCTGATAGGAAGAACAGGTAACGTTTATAGAGCCCCATGCGTGTATGAAGCAGTGCTTTACCTTTATGAGTCACTTAACCCTCACAACAGCTCTGTTAGGTAGGTCTTATCATTCCCCCATTTTACAGATGAGGAGACTGACGTCTGGAGAGGTTTAGTGACTTGCCCTGGGTCATACAGTGGTCAGAGGTGGAGCTGGAATTTGACGTTAGAGCTCTTGCTCTTGGCCGGTAGGCTCTACCCCGTGGTATATTTGGTCTTAGTCTTATAAACAGTGCTGTATTGAGTACTTTAAGCATCTCTAGGATAAATTCCAGAATTCTGTGGAACTGCTAGTTTGAAATGATGTGCATTTAAAATATTTATTGTCACCACATTGCCCTTGAAAGACATGGTACACTTTATACCAAGAACCTGAGGTGAGGCCCATCCCAAATGGTTTGCATTGGGATGTTGGGGATCATGCCTAGCCAGGGTTGAGAATTGCTGTGGAATGAATTGACTGCTGAATGAATATATGAATGAAGGTCTGTACCCAGTCCCCTGTCAGATGGTGAGAATATAATAAGCTGGATGGAGAGGTAGGGAAAACTTAGAATGAGGGAAGAAAAGGACGGCCATGGTGTATTCCAGAGTCAGCAGAAAGCCTGCCAGGACTAGAGCAAAGGATGGCTGGAGAGAGAAGTGATCACAAAGGTAAATTCTGTAGAGCCTTGAATGCCTCTTTCGTGCTAGACATGGAGGCTCTGAGACTAAGGAGGCCTGTGTCTCCTGTCTTGCTCCCACCCTCAAGTAGAAGAACCCCCAAGCCTTATTTGTGAAGGAGGGATTACTTCCTGGGCTTAAAAGCCTGCCTTGTGTGAGGAACTGTATATCTTCTGTTTCTCCTCCTCTGTTCATGATGGCCTTCCCATTCCCTTGTGTTTCCAAAACTTGTATCACTGTCAAAATCACCTGGTGGGGCAAGAGGTGGCTGTTAAAATCCAGATTCCTGGGCCCACCCAGACCCACTGCATCAGAATCCTGAGGGGATGGGCCTGGGAACGAGTGCCCAGGTTCTGCTGCTGACCAGGCTGTTTGAGAGGGAATGCTCTGCTGGGTGATTCATGTTTCATGAGAATAGGAATTGTGACACCGAGGAGTTCTGGCTCCAGCTCTGCCCCTAGCTCGTTTTGTGACCTGGGCCTGAAGACCCGCATCTGGACAGGGAGGGCTTTTCTAGATACGCTCCAAGCACCTCTTGAGCTCTGAAATGATGCGCTAAAGAAGGCAGAGCCACATCCAGGCATATTCTTTCTTTCTTTGGGAGCCCAGCATTCTTCTAAAGCAATAGTTCTTTTTTTTTTTTTTTTTTTAAGGAGTGGCACCTGAGCTAACAACTGTTGCCAATCTTTTCTTTTTTTTTTTTTTTCCTGCTTTATCTCCCCAACCCCCCCCTGTACACAGTTGTATATCTTAGTTGCAGGTCCTTCTAGTTGTGGGTTGTTGTGGGACGCTGCCTCAACGTGGCCTGATGAGCAGTGCCATGTCCGCGCCCAGGATCCGAACCCTGGGCCGCCGCAGCAGGGCGCGCGAGCTTAACCACTCAGCCACGGAGCCAGCCCCTAAAGCAATAGTTCTAATATTTTATGAGATGGACCCCTCGAAGAATCTGCCCGCAACGCCCTACCCCTGCAAGATGCGCACTTAACCCGCAAACCGAATCTTGAGTTCAGTCCGTCCGGCAGTCCCTGGCTAAGAGTTGCCTGTTACAGAGTCTGAGGCTCATCTTCAGCTGTTCGGATCCCTCCAGGCCGGGAGGGCCGAGCAGTGCGGCAGCTCCTCTGCCTTTTCCTGGGGTTGTGCTTCATGTCCCACCCACTCAACCCTGCTACTTCCTCTGGTTCTCCCAGAGAGACCCTGCCCGTCTCCTCCTCAGAAAGGGCAGCAAGTGCAGAGGGCTTGATCTAGGCGAGTGGGTACCAACCCTGGCCTCATGTCAGAATCACCCAGGGACTTTGTAAAAATAATCTGAGGCCTGGGTCCTATCCCCAGAGAGTCTAATATTTAATTTTACATATTTATATATACATATATATATAATTATATTTAAGCTTCCTAGTTGGCTCTTGTGTGCATCCAGTGGACAACCACTTGTCTTAATACTGACACTGATTGTGGGTGGGCCCAGGAAGGTGGTGAGGGTACTGTCATTTGACCTATTGGGAGTGGGGAGTGGGCGCGGCGGGAGTGGGCTGTGGTCTGGGCTCTCCCTTCCTCTTGAGCAGCTGGGAGGGTGTAGCAAGTCCCCCAGCCCAGGCAGCCAGCACTGGTTTCCTGAAGTAGAATCTGAGACAACGCCCAGGAACAGAAAAGCAATACCTCAAGGGTCTCTGGAACGGGCAAGGAGAGGCCCAGGTTTCCCCTTGTCATCATCCCTGTTTCTTCTCCCAGTGCTGTCTTCCCTGCCTCTTTGGAGCTGTAACAGTAATCCTGGCTCTCTTTTCCCCTGATGCTCACTTGGACCAGAAGGGTGGAGCCAGAGAAGCTGAAATCCCCGTCCCATCCTGGTCCTGTAGCTTCCTGGGCCACACTTACTGCATTTCTTCTCTCTTGTCCTCTGAGTCAGAGTCCCCATATCCAGCAGGTTTAAGGCCCTCCCTCTCTGGCTTACTGAATCTGGGTGGGGAAACTGAGGTCAGGAGGGGCCCTTTCTGAGTGAGTCACCAGAGCTTAACTCGGATGCCTCCACCCTCCCCTTTCAAGCTCTGCTGACACAGTTCATCAAACAAAAATGTGAGCCCCCCAGCCCTCCCCCATGTTTGTGTGAGCTGGAGTGAGGCGGAGAAGGGCACGTTTGGAGCCAAACCCCAGCCCCTCAATCGTGGTGCCTGAGGCTGCCACAATTGTTGCAAAAGCCCAGCACATAAAAATGGGTTTGCTTTTATGGCAGACTCCAAGATGTATTTGGCTCTTGTGATTTGCCAGGACCCAGGGTCATGGTCACCTGGCCAAGGAGGATCACTCGTGTGCACAGTCTCCCTCGTCCCCTCCGTGCCTGGGGAGTCCAGGTTTACAGCTTGGTGAGAGGCAGCCGGTGGCGTCACCACATTCCCCAGCCCCCTCCCCCATCCGCCCACCTCCAGAATTTCATCACTGCTTGTTGTGCCTCTAGCTCAGAGAAAACCAGAGACGTGTCTGTTTTTGGTAAATAACTGCGTGAAATTCCCCACCCCTGTCGGGAATCTTAAGGGGGAGGCCCAGATGTGCCCTTCTGCGTGAAGTACTCTCCTCAGCCCCAGGCAGCGTGGGCTCTAGGTTTTCTAGGTCTTCAACCGGGAGCAACGACAATGGTAGTTAAAATGCATGGAGCCCTTAACACATGGCAGGTGCTTTGCACTATTGTCTCATTGACTCTTTACAACAACCCTGTGACGGAGGGGCTTCTCCTGCCCCCATTGTGCAGGAGAGGAGACCAAGGCTCAGAGAGGGTAAAAGACTGGCCCACAATATGTTGACCTAGGTCATGGGGGCAGAGCTGGATTTCAAATCCAGGCAAGCTTGCCTGTCAAACTTGTGTTCTTGCTCAGTATACTCTGTTAGGACACGAGACAGGGTGACCTGAGGTCAGGGGATCCTGGAAAGGGCACATTATACGTACATAGACACCAGTACCTTCCAGGGGACCATCTGGGTTCAATTGTACAGGTATTCATTGGGCCCTTGCTGTGCCTCGACTCTGGGCCAGGCTTTTCTGATCTGGGCAGGAAACTAGAAGTTCCATCCCCACCCGTCATCTGCAGCCCCAGCTGTGCTCACCCCAAGGGGCCTGAGGCTGCACAAATTCCTTGGACCAGTGCCAGTGCTCGCTGATGCTTCCCAGTCATGGGAGGCCCGCCCTCCCCACCACGCCGCCGCACAGACACATGCACACTCATTTCCCTGGAGTCAGCCTCCATTCGTCCAAAACCACTCTACCCTTTCTCTGCAGTAGAACAAGGTCCTTCATTGAGCCCAACCCTTGGGGCTGTTCTGTCACGTCCCCTGGCAGTACCAGAAGGAGAAGCTGTGTCCCTTAGCCCTGGGGTCCTGGCAGTACTCTGGGGTGGGGGAGGGACTAGACAAGGCTTCTCTCTGTCCCAGATGCTTCTGGCTACCCTGCAAGGACTGAACAACAGCGACTGAGAACCTCAGAGTAGAACCGCAGGGGTGGGCTGCCCCTGCTGGAGGAGAGGGGAGAGAGGCACCGATCACTGAGTCCCATACGGAGCACTCACTGCGGGCCGACTCTGTTAGGTGCTGTACTGCATTGTCTCCCTAAATCCTCTGCAGCCCTGTAATCCCTCTTTTACAGAGGAGGAAGCACATTGCCCAGGCAACTGCATGGCACAGCTGGGATGCAGGTCCCTGACGTTCTGTTGTTAATCTTTATCGCTGAATTTCTTCTTCCTTTTTCCCAAGAACTAAAAACTCAGGGACTAAGTCAGGGAAATGGGGTACCAGGGAGTTCCTTCCCATGTGACCCAGTGGCAGAGGGAGGAGGGAAGGTGGGAAAGGCGAAGGCTTCCTGAAGTCAAGAAGTCTTGTCCCACTTCGGAAAGAGCTTTTGACGTGGAGAGGACCTAAGAGAAAGCTGTGTGGTCCAGGGAGCTGGTTCAGGAGAAGACAAATGGAGGGCATGAGATGTCCTAACCTTGAGTGACAGGTCCGGGAGCAGACCTGGAAAGCCAGGGACGGGGGGAGAAGAAGAGAGTTGGTGTTGGAGAGATAGCAGAGGGTTGTGGGCAACAGTTCCTCCCAGCCCGGAAGGCTGACAGACCTCCGGATCTTGGGTTCAGATCTTGGCTCTGTCACTTTGGGGAAGTGACTTCACCTTCCCAAATCTGTTTCTTCATCTGCAAGATGTAGATGTTAAAACAGGGTTGAGGTGAGGATGAAGAACAGTCATGTTCTTAGCGTAGTGTCTGGTACATAGACAGTGCTCCATAAATACCATCCATTGTTACTATTTTTGTGTAGTATTACTATTCTCTTTTGGGCAGTACTGGGGGCATGGTGTGAATTGATGACTGAAGAAATGGATGAATCCCTGGGCACTCTAACGGGTTCTCTAGGAAGCTTGGAGCAGAGAGGCCCAGGCCAAGAAAATGTACATTGTAGGCCAGGAGTTGGGAGTTGTGTATGATGCATTTTTTTAAAGCTGCAAATTTAAGCATAATTAGAAGTTTATGTGAATGCCCAAGCCATAGATTTCCAAACAGGTCATTAGGAGAAAGAGAGATGTGAAAGGGGCATTTCTCAGGCAAGGCTCCCAGTGGCCAGGTGTCTGGCCTGTAGTGTGGACAGAGGAGACCAGAGGTCCTTAGGATCTTCAGCCCTAAGGAAATTGGGTTGAGCCACGGTCAGATGCAGAGGAATCCAGATGGGGCCTTGCTTGAAACCCAGATGCCTGGGATTCTGAGACTCTGCTTACGTATATACCCTTTCCCAGCCCGTCTGTTTCCTGGGCCTGGAGTTGGCTTGTGCCTTTAGAATCGCTGTGGGTGTTTGAAAGGCAAGAGTCATAGTAAGACGTAGTAAGCACGATGTCATAAATAGCAGATAACGTTTACTGAGGACTTACTTTTTGCCCCACTTTGTGCTGTGGTCTCACTTAATTCATCACAGCCATGCCAGGTAGGAATGGCTCTGAGCCCCACTTTACAGATAGAGAACATAGAGCTCAGGAAGTGATCACGTTTGCCCAGAGTAACTTGGTCAGTAAGTGGGAGAGGAGGGACATAAGCCACATCTCTGCCTGGTCGTTTTCATCGCCCACCTTCTGGGGTCCTAGTTTTGTCTGGTTAGAGCCAGCTCCTTTGCCCCTTTCCAGGACCTCAACAACAACTCAGTAGCTCATCTGTCAGAATTCCCTTGATGATGGTTTGCAAATTGTTCCCTTGGCTACAGGTATGAGCCCAGTTACCCAAGAGCGAGTGCAGAGTTGGCCCCAGTCCTTGATCATTGTCTCTTTTCTCAAGTTTTTGGTATTCTTTCTCCCTTTCCTTTGCCCTGTCTGCATTATTCCCTGTCCTCCACTCCACTGAGGTGGTCAGGGAGGTGATAACAAGGTTTTCAAGGAGGACAGTCAGACCTGTAATGGTTCCTTCCCAAGGCCTTCTTTATGTGACCAGCCTGGGGCCTTATTCTTGCGAGCTCCCTTCTGGGTCGAGAGAGGAAACCTGGCTCATCTCCACAGGACAGATTCAGGCCCTCGGACAGTGGGGTGGGAAGGAGTGTTACCAGATCACCATGGCATGGAGTAACCAAGGGAGGCTTTCTGGAGGAGGGCAGGTTTAAGAGGTCCATAAAAGACATAGAATTTGAATAAGAGGAAGGAGGCTATTGCAGGCTAAAGCCTTGAATCTTAGCCAAGTGTGGAAGTTTGGATGCATGCGGCATGGGGAGAGCCCCAGGGAAGGTGGGGCTGTCCTGAGCGGAGTCTTCCTCTGGAGGAATAGGAGGTAGGGAGTGCCCTGGAGATGAAGGTGGTGACTGGGGTAGGAGTTCTTGAACTTGAGTCTGCTGGTGCTGATGGCCATTGTAGGCTCCTGGTCAGGAAGGTGACATCTTGATGTGCTTTAGGAAGATAAATCCGTCTGGGTGTGTGGGACAGGTGAGAGGGGGAGAATATAGAGGCAGAGAGCCCAGTTAAAAACAACAGCGAGCGTGTATTAAATATGTTCTTTTTTTTTTTTTGAGGAAGATTAGCCCTGAGCTAACTACTGCCAATCCCCCTCTTTTTGCGGAGGAGCACTGGCCCTGAGCTAACGTCCGTGCCCATCTTCCTCTATATGTGAGATGCCTACCACAGCATGGTGTGCCAAGTGGTGCCATGTCCGCACCCGGGATCCGAACCGGCGCACCCCAGGCCGCTGAAGTGGAACACGCGCACTTAACCGCTGCACCACCGGGCTGGCCCCTAAATATGTTCTGTATGCCAGGCCACTTTCCGTTCTTTCTGAGCTCACCGAATCTCAGAGCCACACTGTGAACTGGGCACTGTGATTACCTTCAGACTTTTTCAGTGAGGAAATCAGTGCTTGGTGTGGTTCCAGGTGACTTGCCCAAGGTCCAGCTAGAAAGTTGGGGAGTCCAGACCATCTGATTGCAGAGTCCAGGTTTTAACCACTATATACCCCTGTCCTCCCCAGTCAGAAAGGAGGCTGTTTGGATAGGGGAGAGCAGGTAGAGGCCATAAAGACAAAGAGCAGGCATACAGCAAGAAGAGCGGGCCTGGGGCAGTAGGAGGAGCTCAGATTCCAGAGGAGCAAGTTTGGTCGATTGGGAGCACAGCAGGTGTTTGAGAGTAGGAGTGAGGGAACCAGGAAAAGTTACTCTGGAAGCAGAATGAGTGTGTTTGATCTCACCTGTATGCGGGACAAGGTTGGGGGTCGTGGAAGGAGAAAGGAGAGGAAATTGGAGCAGAGGGAGCAGGCTGTACACAGCTCTCCTGGGTTTGTAGGAGTCCCCCACCCCGCTCCGCTGACATTCCCTCTTGTCCCCTCTGCAGCCATCGTCAGCCAGTGGCAGCAGGAGTCCAAAGAGAAGGTGGTGTCCCTCCTGCTGTCCCACCTGCCCCTGCTTCAGCCAGGCAACACGGAGGCCAAGTCGGAGTACATGAGGCTGCTGCAGAAGGTGCTGGCCTACTCAATCGAGAGCAATGCCTTCATCGAGGAGAGCCGCCAGCTGCTTTCCTACGCCCTCATCCACCCGGCCACCACCCTGGAAGACCGCAACGCGCTGGCCCTCTGGCTGAGCCACCTGGAAGAGCGGTTGGCTAGCAGCTTCCGCAGCCGGCCCGAGCCCACCTACCACTCGCGCCAGGGCTCAGATGAGTGGGGGGGGCCCGCAGAGCTGGGCCCCGGGGAGGCAGGGCCAGGCTGGCAGGACAAGCCACCCCGGGAAAATGGACACGTGCCCTTCCACCCACCCAGCTCTGTGCCGCCGGCCATCAACAGTATTGGGAGCAACGCAAATGCAGGTGAGGGCGTGGGGGTCCCAGGAGGCCATGCCTACTTGAAAAGGGTCAGACTGGGCTTTCCACTCAGTCTATGGCCCCAAGCAAGTCACACAGCCTCTCTGGGCCTCAGCTTTCTGAGGCAGTGCAGAGGTTGTGAACTGGCGTTCCCAGAGCCGTATCTGACCTACAGACGCATTCTGTTGAGCCCAGACTTGACAAAACTTTGATTTTATTTTGTTGTGTTTTAAAATAAATTTGGTGATATAAAGAATCAGGGCTTTTCCCCTAAAAATCCAGATTTCAGCTTCTCTTCAAAAGTCAAAAGATCTGGCACTTAAAGGCCTGAATTCCTGGTAGCAGTAACAAGATGGAATTGAATATCGTCCAACCCCCTTAAGACGTTGCACATGTGCCCCAATGGGCCTCTGTCCCCACCCCCCTCTTTGGGCATGTCTGATACCGTCCTGGCCTCTGAAGGCATTAAGTTAATAATGACGATAATCTGAGATCCCTTCCAGCTCAGACATTCTGGGTTTTTGGATCTGGCCTCAGCTTACAGCGTTGTTTCTGAGAAATCTGTGTTCCTAAGCCTGTTTGTGTAAGATGTAAGTCACGCAACGAGGCGTTAGTAATAGTAGGTAACATTGTTGAGCGTTCAGCATGCTCGGTGCTCTTTTATAAGCACTTTTCAGACATAATCTCATTTAATCCTCATCACAGCTGTATCATTAGCCCCATTCTATAGATGAGGACACCGAGGCTCAAAGAGGTGAAGTCATGTATTCCAGGTCACACATAGGATAAGTGGTGGAACGGGCCGAGGTTCGGAGGGAGGCAGTCTGATGCCAGAGCCTGCTTCTGACCTCTTGTGTCGTCCTCCAACGAAGTGGTCTTGAAAGGGGTCTCTTAGTATGCGCCCAGAGGCACGGGTGAGCCGGAGGAGCTGGTATTCCAGTGAGTTTTTGAAATGTTAGTTGAAATGAACAGGATAAGGGAGAGTGACGTTTCCAAGGCTTGGTGAGGTGACATGGCCTGATTCAAGGCAAGAGGTCTCCAAGGTTTAACCTCAGGTTGGCCGATTCCCTTTGGCTGGCGTTGCTTAAAGCAGGCCAGGAGAGCGTGCCAGTGACATATCATTTGTGCCAACAGGTCTTGCGCCCAGCTCTGTGGCACCTATTACACATCAGTTGCCCCCTGAGCCTCTTTCTTGCCCAGTTAAATATGAATGTCCTGCTCACCTGCCTCCCTCCCACGTGCTGGCAAGAATCAGGGAATATAGAGGGATAGGATGGCATTTCCGGGGATTCTAGCAACCCAAGGTGTCTCGAACCTTGTTTTATAGTCTCAAAGCATTACAGTCTCTGGGTCCAGATTGGGAGGATATATTAATAATGATAATTCTAGCTAAAATATATTGGGTGTTTAGTCTTTGCCAAGAACTGTTCTGAGAACTTTATTTATACATATAAATTCCTTGGCTGAGTCACGGAAAAGTCACTTGCCCAAGGTGGCATAGCCAGAATTTAAATCCAGGCCATCTGGCTCCACAGCTCGTATCTTAACTGCTATGCTACATTGCCTCCTCCTGAAAATGACCCTCCCAAAGATGCTCAGACCTCATCAAAGAGAGGGGTCACCCATGCAGGCTGCCCATACATTGTTTCCTCCCCATGATGGGGACAGCAGCTATTAAAGGACCAAGCTGGAACAATGTTGGACAGGGGGTTTGAACCAGGAGAGAGAAAGGAATTGGATGTTCCAGGTAAAGGGCACAGCATAAAGGTGCAGGGGTGGCAAACTGGACTATGGTCCGACTGGAATGGAGAGATGCGAGGATTTAAATGAGTAGTAGCAGTAGCAGATATTCTTGTTGACCGTGTGCTTGCCTCCGTGCCACGGATTTCACGTGGAAATGGAGGCAGAGGAAGCAAATGAAGTGACTTGCCCAGGATCATACAGTATAATTGGTGGCAGAGCCAGGATTTGAACTCAGGTCTGTCTTGACTCCCAGATCTCAGTATGTTAGGGCCACATTCCGGGGGCCCTTGAAGGATAGGGTGAAGCTTTTCAATTTCAAGCAGTTGCAGGAAACAGGAAACCATTAAAATATTTTTGAGTAAGGAGCAAGGATTGGCCTGTAAGGGCAGGCAGGGTGGGTTTGGGGTGCTGCCAAGGACAGACCAGGGTTTCTTGGAGAGTGTGAGGCCCTGAATCTCCGACCGGCATTCCTGTTTTTATAACTCCCATTCTGAGGCCAGCCTCCACCCCAGTGCAGGGCTCCTCAGGAACTGCACAAGCATTCCAATCAGGATAATTTCCTGCCGTCTCAGCCTTGCTGCTCCCTTCTTGGCTGAGGCACCAAGACAGGCAAACAAGCCTGTATTGAGGGTTCCCCAGCCCTCCAGAGCGTGCCATCTCATGGGAGTCCAGAGGCCTGGAAGCTTGAGTAGAGGACCCCCGAGGTCATGGGCAGGGGTGGAGCCTGGCCTTAGGCCAGTGCACTGCCCTCTCCCTCAGCTGACTTCCTGGCTAGGAGTATAGATGATGTCGCAGATTAGGGAAGGTGCTCTGGGACCTGTACCAGGCTGGTTGTCGTTCCTGGTCTGAGTGGCAGTGGAGCACTGGCAGGAATCCAAGCCTTTGCATCAGAAACAAGATTGGGGTTCTTTTGTCTCTGCCTCCCAATTCCTTGTGGGAACTGGGGCAAAGGGCTTCTGCTCCCTGGGCCTTGATGTTCTCACCTACCCAGAGTGAGGCTTTTTGACTTTGTTTCCTTTTCTTCACTTGAGGTACTTCTGGATTCCTTCTGTCAAGCTCAGAGGCCCCCTTAGCACGTTTAGGACCGCAGGTGCCCTCCTTTTGGCTTTTATGAAACTTTGAGGGTCCCTGTGTGTCATGCCCTGCACCTGATCCTGGGAATGCAGACGTGATTGGGCGGGGTTGCCATCTGACAGAGGCCTGGAGTCCTCACGAGCCCAGAGTTCAGTGGAGCGGCAGGCTAGCGGAGGAGCAGTGAGTGCTCGGCTCGAGGTAGCAGCGCAGGGGCCCGGGAGCACAGGCTGGAGTCACAGAAGAGGGAGCACTTGAGCAGAGGGCTGAAGGCTGAAGTGGCTGGCAGATAGAAGTGGAAGAGCGGTGAGCTCAGCAGGAGGAATAGCACATGGAAAGGTCTGGAAGCTTGTGGTCTGGAACCACCTTCCCTGTCCTGACAATGGTTAAAAATCAAGCTGGATCCCTCTTCCCACCTCAGGTATGAGATGGATGGAGGCTGTGAAACACCTCGTGGAAGAGGGCCTGGGCTTACCCAGAGCCCCTGGGTCTCATGGGTGGTTGGTTTGGGCTCAGTACAGGGAAAATCTTTGGGAGGTGGTGAGGACCAGTGACCAGGATGTTGAGGAAGCAGTTTATGTACTTCATTCATTTGCTTTACAAGTACAGTGAAGCAGCTCCTCTGGGCCAGGCCCCACTGTAATTACTGAGGAGACAGTGGTGTTGAAGGCAGGACAGGTCCTTGCTGTCACAGATCTTCTGTTGTATGTTAGTACGCAAGTAACCAAAATAAGGAGATACGGTTATTTCAAGTTGTGATAGGTGCTGTAAGAAAATGAGACAGTGAATGTGGTAGAGTAAGCAGGATTGTTGGGGGCGGCTACTCAGGGACGGCCTCAGAAGAGAGAAGACCTCACCAACTGCTGAGGTCAGGAGGATGGAAAGAAAGAGCGAGGGCGGAAGTCCTGAGGCCAGAACAAGCTTGGGTGTTCCCGAACAAACGTGCAGGTCAGGGCAAGGCTAGAAAGACGTGAGCCGAAGGGTGAGTGGTGGGACATGAGAGGTCAGAGGTGAGCAGGGCCCAGGTCCTGCAAGGCCTTGTAGGTGTGTGGAAGGGTTTGAATTTGATTCTCAGTGTGAAGGTGGGACTTAAGCAGGGACTGACTTGGTCAGATTTTTATTTTTAGAAGGATCAGTATGGCTTCTGTGAGGCGAATGGGCTGTAGGAAGGAAGAATGAAGACAAGATACCAGCAAGGGACACCAGTGACTCGGACCAGGGTGCCAGCAGAGGAAGTGGAGAGGTTCAGAGAAGTGGCTGACAGCTTGCCCATGAGTTGGATGAGGGGGATGAGGGAACAAGCAGTATCTGTTAGGCCGTTCCCCTCAGGCCCAAGGGTCCCTTCCCCTTGTTGGATTCTGGTGCCGAGCCACCATCCATGGCACTGACCAGGGGGCATGTCTCCTGTGGTCACATCTTCAAGTCTGATGTCTTCTTGCCTCTCTCCCTCTCTGGCCAGGTCTCCCCTGCCAAATACACCCCAGCCCGCTGAAGCGTTCCATGTCGCTCATCCCCACGAGCCCCCAGGCCCCTGGTGAGTGGCCGAGTCCAGAGGAGCTAGGGGCCCGGGCTGCTTTCACCACGCCCGACCACGCACCCCTCTCACCCCAGAGCAGCGTGGCCTCCTCTGGCAGTGAGCAAACGGAGGAGCAGGGCTCCAGCCGGAACACTTTCCAGGAGGACGGCAGTGGCATGAAAGGTACAGTGTGGGGCGGGGGTGGGCGGCGGCACTAGAACCCTCTGGAGAGAGGTTTCTGCAGAGCTTAGAGGACAGAAGGAAGCTGATAGCTTCCCCTCTGCTTGTCCACCCCCACCTTCCCCCAAGTAGGGACGAGTCTGAGGGGAGGAGACAGTCCCTGCCCTTAGGGAGACAGAGAGCAGAGAGCCCCCTGCGGGCCCTGGTCTGATAGGGAAGAAGCCCCTGCCCTCAGACTCCCCAGTCTGACCAGGAGGCCAGGACACAGTGGTCACTGATGGACAGAGGCTCCAGGAGGACTTGGAGAGACATCAGTGAGGTCATCCTAGTACACATCCAGTCAAGCAGCGCAGAAGGGTCAGCCATCCTGATCAGGGAGAGCCACCTAGAAGGGTCTGGCTGGGCAGAAGAAGAAATAGCTCTGGACCCCTGGCTTCCCCCTACCCCTCCCGATTTTCTGCAGCTTTTTAGGCTGCCTGTGGTTTATGCCTGGGCCCTCCACACAGCCCTCCCTCTGCGCTGATCACAAGGGCCAGGCTCCTGACCGCTGCTCCTTCCTTTTCCACAGATGTGCCCTCGTGGCTCAAGAGCCTCCGCCTGCACAAGTACGCGGCCCTCTTCTCCCAGATGAGCTACGAGGAGATGATGACGCTGACTGAGCAGCACCTGGAGTCTCAGGTGAAGCCACAGGGACCGTCAGCGAGGTGCTGGGGACAGCACCATGTTGACATTACCCTTGCAGCCCGAGCCCCCTCCATCTCTCTGGGCCTTGTTGGAGCACCCCAAATACCTCACCCTCCCATTTCCAGCTTCCTTTCCCCTTCTGCCCCTACCACAGAATGTCACCAAAGGTGCCCGCCACAAGATAGCCCTGAGCATCCAGAAGCTGCGTGAGAGGCAGAGCGTCCTCAAGTCCCTGGAGAAGGTAAGGACCCATTATCCCCATCTCCAAGGCCAGCTGGCTGCCCAGTGGCACAGTAGACTCAGGGCTCTGTGTCGGCCTTGCTGCCTGAGTGGCCTCCCCTTGGGGTCCCCAGCCCTCATGTCTGACCTCCAGTGGCCCCAGCCCTAAGGAGCCAGGCTCCGGGGACCAAGTGCAAGTCAGCTCCTAGGCCTCACGTGCCTGTGACTAAGAGGCTCCTTCCTCGTCTGTCCTGGGCTGTACCTCCAGACTCTGCCTGTTGACTCCGTCCCTTCTCTCTCCTTTCGCTTTTCCATTTCTGACTGGTCTCTCTGGTAGAGCCGAGTGTCTCCCTGTGTGCATGATCTCTCTGTCCATTTGGTTGTTTCTCATCCACTCACTCTCCTTCCTATCTGCCTCGATGGGCACTCCTTTTCCCTTTCTCTGCCGCTTGTCTTCTGGTCCCCCCCTTCAGTGGCTTGGTCTGAGTTTGGTCCCATCCTTGTGGGAGCCTGAGGTCCCAGCATTAAAGCACCTTCTCCTGAGCTCAGTGGGACTCCACGCTGAAGGGGAGAAGAGGGAGTGTATGTGTACAATGTGTCCGTGTACATGGGCTTGTGGTGCCCTTACCTGCCTTGTCTGTGTGCTGGAACCGGGGTCCTCCAGCCCTCTCCAAGCCCCGTATGACCCCACTTGTGTAGTCATTCTGCATTGCCCAGGGGATGAGCCCGTGACTCTGGCTGTGTCCTCGTCCCCAGGATGTGCTCGAAGGCGGGAATCTGCGCAACGCCCTGCAGGAGCTGCAGCAGATCATCATCACCCCTATCAAGGCCTACAGTGTCCTCCAGGCCACGGTGGCCGCCGCCGCTGCCGCCACCCCTCCTGCCAAGGATGGGGGCCGGGGGGAGCTGCCGCCGCCAGGTGCTGAGCCTCCCCTGGCTCACCCCGGCACGGACAAGGGCACTGAGGCCAAGGACCCTCCAGCTGCAGAGAGCTACCCTCCTCCACCAGCTCCAGCTCCCACTGATGGCAGCGAGCCAGCCCCGGCTCCCGTTGCTGACGGAGACATCCCCAGCCAGTTTACACGGGTGATGGGCAAAGGTGAGACCGCCCAGGGCCCAGTAGGAAGTTCTGGGGCAGAGGGCCAAGCGACCCCAGGCAGCAGGGATCGAATCCAAGTTAAATGGTAGGAGCAGAGCTTTTTAAAGCGCCCTGGAAACTAGAGCACTGCAGAGAGTGGCTGAGACAGAGGGTGGCAAGGCCTCTGCCCTCAGCTGTGTCCAGGCTGATGGTAGGAAACAACCCTTACCCTCAGAGCGTCTCCAGCCCGAGCGGAGGACAGGCAGTGGGTCAGTGGAAACTGCCTGCAGTAAAGGGTGAGCAGCTAAGGCAAATCTGTTGGTTCTCTCAGAGGGGACGGAAGTCCAAGGATGGATGTGGTGAAGCTCATGATGGGCTCAGCCTTTCTTAAGGCAGCATGGCGTAGCAGACTTTACACTTGGGTCTGGATCCTTTTAGCTGTGTGACCTGGAGCAAGTGACTCAACCTTTCTGAGCCTCAGCTTCCTCAGCCTAGAAAGGCCCACCCTGATGAGATTGTTACAGGAGTTAAAGGAGAAGAGGTATCATTGACTTCATCTCTGCCTTATGCCAAGCAATATGGTGGACACTTTCTATATCCTCTTGGTAACCTTGGCACATAGCTGATACTCATCCAGCCTGAGTTTCCTGTCACTCCTTCTGTCCTTCTGTGCCAGCCAGCTGGGACCAGGGAAGCTGGAGCATGACAGAGGGCATGCTGGGAGCTAACGTCCCGCCCTTTCCTGTGTCCCCCAGTGTGCACCCAACTGCTGGTGTCCCGACCAGATGAGGAGAATATCACCAGTTACCTCCAGCTCATCGAAAAGTGCCTGACTCATGAGGTGAGGCCCTCTCCACGGCTCCCGAGAAGCAGGGCGCTGCCCCCTCCCTCTCAGGCCTCCCGCACTCTCAGGACCAACAGGCCCTGCCGCCTGGCAGCCACCCCCATCCAGCCCTCATGTCACCAGTGCCGGGGTCACTGGATGCCTTCACCTGCCCCTCCTGACAGAGCAGGTTCTCGGGCCTCCTCTGCTGCTCCCTCATGGCGTTCTGCACAGTTGTGATCGCACGTGTGTCTTCCCCCTGCTCAACTCTCAGCTCTGTGCGCACAGGGCCCCTCCGCGTCCCAGTGTTGCCTGGCACAGAGCGGGCAGTTGGTAGACGTTTTAGCAAACGAATGGAAGGCGGATCTGGAGAAGCATGGCCCCCTGCTTCACCCTCCTGACTCTCTCTAGGCTTTCACGGAGACGCAGAAGAAACGGCTGCTGTCCTGGAAACAGCAAGTGCTGAAGCTGCTCCGGACCTTCCCTCGCAAAGCCGCGCTGGAGATGCAGAGCTACCGGCAGCAGAAAGGGTAGGCGGGCGGCCTGGGCACAGGCGCCTTCCAGCCCCGGGCCCTTGCTGCTGGACAGACAGTGCTTAGAGGGGAGCTCACACTCTGGGCTGGGAATCCGACTGTACCCCTGCAGTCTCTGGGTGACAAGTCACCCCGTGGAGACTTTCCCAGAAGAAACTCACGATGTCCTTACCACTAGAATAGGGTGCTGGGGTGGCAAAACCATCGCATGTCCCAGTAGCAGGTCCTTGGCCTGTCCCTTGTTCTCACCTGTGTGCAGAGGGCTCTGAAGTCCCTTCTCACCCCAAACAAAAACCAGAGTGTTAGACTCAAGACGTAGTTGAAGTTAGACTAACTGCTTGAGTGGACACGGGGGAACCTTCGCATACGCCCCGTCTCCGTCCTGGGTCAGCCTTGGGGCAGGAGGAGACAGGCTTTGTGCGCAGGGACTCGGACAGGGAGTCCTGTCTCGGAAGAGGGCTGTGTTCTGTCCTACCCACGGGGACTGTGGATGCGGTGAGGAGGGTGGACAGGTGGGCCCATCTGCCTAAACTGACACCCTGCCTTCTGCTCTCTCACAGCTGGGCGTTTGGCTCCAACTCACTCCCCATAGCTGGTTCTGTGGGGATGGGGGTGGCCCGGCGGACCCAGCGGCAGTTCCCAATGCCTCCCCGGGCCCTCCCGCCTGGAAGGATGGGCCTTCTGAGCCCCTCGGGCATTGGGGGCATCTCCCCCCGCCATGCCCTCACCAGCCCCAGCCTTGGGGGCCAGGGCCGACAGGTGAGCCGGCTAGAAGCAGAGGACCTGGCGCTTCTGGGGTTGGGGTGGTAGTGCCTGGGACGTGCGTGCCCATACCTTTGCGTCTGGGCCCGGCTTAAAGGGGAGGGGTTCCCCTGCCAGCTCCACCACTCCTGGGCCTGGGCCTCTTCTCCACTCATTCACTGCTTTCTCGCTCCCCGTGCCCTGTGCAGAACCTGTGGTTTGCCAACCCCGGAGGCAGCAACAGCATGCCCAGCCAGAGCCGCAGCTCTGTGCAGCGCACCCACTCGCTCCCAGTCCACTCGTCGCCCCAGGCCATTCTCATGTTCCCTCCAGGTAAGGTGCCCCCAGCCTTGAGACTCTGCCCCGACAACACCCTTAGCTGGCCTTTCTCTTCTTTTCTGGGTCTCGTACCCACTGTCCCTTCTCAGCTGCCAGAGTGCCTCTCCCCGTACCTCCCACCCCTCTGTACCCATCTCCCCGCATCGTGGGTTTTCTTCTACTTGCCCCCTGCTGCCCCTGTTTCAGTTTTATATTTTACATCCTGCTCTCTCTCTCTCTCTCTCTCTCAGTGTTCTCTCCCCTTACTCCCACCCCTGCATCTCCATATCTCCCTCCTGTGTCATAGTCTTAGTGTCTGTGTTGCTCTCGGCCATCCTGTCTTTGGAGGATCATTAAAGACTCCATTTGGAAGGGCTGGAGGGGGTGGGAGAGAGTGTTGAGGTTTCTGTGGAGGGGAGTCCTGCGCATCAGTTCACTGGCATTCTGTCAGAAGCCAGGTGAGCAGACAGGACCCAGTAGACTTCAGCTCTTAGAGCAGGTTCTACTCCTAAGGGTGCTGGCAGGGGAGAGGGCCGTTCTGCCTCTCTTCACAGACAGCCTGGAGATGGGAGCTCAGAACGAGGGCGAAGGGGCAGGAGGGAGCTGAGCGCCCTGCCTTCTTGGTGAGTGGGGCTTGATTCCTCCACCCCGAGCGGGGCCCTCTGCAGGCCGCTGAGGCCCAGAGGCCGACAAGGCTGATCTGGAAAGAGCTGCCTCTGCAGAGATCTTAGTTTTGCGAGAGACCCTGAACTCTTCATGTCATAAACTGCCAAATCAGTAGGGAGCCTTAATTATGAGACTATGTGGGCTGCCTTCTGTCGAAGGGGACCTTGTCCGTTGTGCTCATCCTAGCGCAGGGCTTGCTATGCACGGGAGGCATTTGTACGCGATGTTAGACGACTGGATGGATGAACTGCCCGAGCACAAGTAACAGTCCCCTTGCGCCTCCGTGCCGCGCGCCCGCCCCAGCTGCACACGCGACTCACACTTGCACAGGTGACCTGCTCATGGTCAAAAAGCTTTTTGTTAGGGAGAGACAGGTAGTGGTCTGACCTGGCCTGAGCTCAGGATTCAGGGGGGACGTGATGAGAAGTCAGATTAGAGGTGGGGGCAGGGTCTCCCTAACCCGGGCAACTGCCTCCTGGCGGCAGTGAGGAGCCGAGGAGTGGTTTGAAGCAGTGCGGGACGGAGTCAGGTCAGGGCTGCCCGAGGAGGTGGGCTGTGTCGCAGACGCCGGAACAGCAGGGCCTTTTGAGAGGCGCTTTGAGGACGAGCCCCATGGCTGCCGTCCTGATTCGCCCCGCCTGCCGGGCCTGCCCAGATCACATCCTGTCCAGAAGAACAAGTCCTTGTGGGTTGAGAAGGGTTCTCGTTAAGCTTCTGCACCAAGTACAGAGCAGGTCGTCAGTCGGACAGCACAGGGCTGCCCAGTGCCCAGCGCGGATGCCCAGACTGTGGCTAAGGCAGCGTGCGCTGTGTCCCCGGAATAGTCACTGCCTGTGTGTGGCCTCCAGGAAGCTCCCTCGGCTTCACATCACTCCCTCTGTCTGCAAGCCAGGCTTTCTCTGTGTTGTCCAGCCTCTGCCCTTGCTGTTGTCACCTCTCCTGCTTTGTGACACACCCAGGCCTGTCTCTGTCCTTCATCTCTGCCCCGTCACACCTTCCGTCTGAGTGCGTGTGTGTCCTTGTGTGCTCTGTCTCTGTCTCTTCCCTCTCCCTGCCCCTCCCTTCCTCTCCCCCATGCCAGCCCTCCAGTCCTTTGTCTCCCCAGCTCTCCGCTCCTCCCCAGGCCAGTCTTCACTGCCCCCGGTTCTCTCCCTCCCAGACTGCCCGGTCCCTGGGCCTGACCTGGAGATCAATCCCACTCTGGAGTCTCTGTGTCTGAGCATGACAGAACACGCCTTGGGTGGTGAGCATTTCCTCTTTCCCTGACCCAGCTCCCACCTACCCAGCAGCGTCTCCACCTCTGAACTGAGCCACTCAGAGTCATCCTGAGGGGTCCCGAGGGGAGGCCAGACTCCAGGGAGGGCCTGACTGGGATGACAGGCTACCTGAGCGCCTTTCCTCAGGCCTCCCGCCGGCTCCTGATCTTCCTCCCTTCCTCCCTTTCTTACCGCAGATGGGACAGACAAAACCTCCACCATCTGACAGGACCCACAGCCCAGCGCACCTATAGGCTCCCTGGGCGGCGGGCGGGGACCAACCCCCAACGGGCTTCTCGGCAACAGCGAGCGGGTGGGCTGGCTCAGCTATACATTCTAATATTTTTCTACTCTCTCACCCTTTTAACTTTTGTTTAACATTGGCACACGCCTTGCTCACTCCCAGGCCCGTCGAGGGATCTCTGCTGAGGCCCAGGGAGGTAGGGGGCAGCCAGGATGAAGGGGGCAGGGACTGGCCAGCCTGCCTGGCCCCTCCTTCCCTCATCCTCTACCTGGCCCTGTCCCACCCTGCCTCCTCGAGACCGCCGGCCGCCTGCCCCTCCTGGGGGAGCAGCCTCCCCGTCTTCTGGGGCCTGCTCAGCACCATCTGACATCTGGGGAGGGACAGCGAGGTAGATAACCTGCTCTCCTGAATGTCATTTGAGAGGAGGAGAGGAGCCTCTCCTCCGACCTCCTCCTTCCCATTCCCGTCATGCCCCGAGGACAGGAGCCACCCTCCTCTCACTCACCTCCTTTTGCCCTGTTTATCAGAGGTTCTCTACAATTAATTTCTTAGGCCTATTTAAGATACATATTTATATAGTTCTTAACGGTTTTTCTCTCTGATCATTCCCTCTCATTTTTAGAATCCCCAGGCCTCTCTCTGAGCCAAGAAAGTGGCAGGGGGAGCCTGAATTTTACGAGGAGAGAGGGCAGAGCCCCCTCCTCCAGACCCCCTAGCCCTTCCCCATGCCCCCAGCCCTGGCTGCCCTGATGCAGAGGTCGAAGGCGGGGAGCCGGGGCACCAGTGAGGTCAGGAAGTCTGTTGCCTTAACGTCCCCTTCCCCCACCAACACACACCCTTCTCCACTCCCAGGTCTGGGTGCTCAAAGACTTGGGGGTAAGGAATAGGGAAAGGGGATTGTTTGGTTTTTGGTTTCTTTCCCCATCGCCCCTTTTCTTTTGACCTTCCCCCACCCCCCATGCTGTCATGACCTCACTTAAGTGGAACACTATATCATAACCCAGAGTCGTCCCGGCCCCGCAGTCACACAGATCCTCTGGTCCCTGTTCCTACTGAGGGGTTGTGCTGGGGCCCAGGTGGAGAGAGGGGATTTGGGGGTTCAGCCTGTGGGGAAGCCAGGGTCCCCTATTCCAACCCCCTCGTCCCCCTCAACCCACCCCCCTCACTGGGACATTCTCAAGCTTTTCACACCGAAAAGGAAAAAAAAAAAATGTTATTTTTAGATACATTTTATGAATAACTTTTGTTATGAATATGGCTGGTAACCATTGTGTATGTTATTAAAGATACAAAATGTTGGGAAAAAACAAAAAACCAAAAAAAAAAATTTTAAAACCACCGCCCTTCCTGCACTCTCCCCCCATTCCCCACCTTCTTGCCCCTGCCCACCTGGTCTGGACCTCCCTCAGCTCTCAGCCCAGGCAGGGGGAGAAAGCCAGGGGCTGGGGTGGCCCTGGGGACCTGCTACAGGTCCCCACCTCCTCTCCCAGTGCCGGGCTGGGTGGGGCGTCAGGTTTATTTATGTACCTCTTGCACACTCATCAACCTATGCAAGTCCCCCGCCCCGGCCCCTCCATGTTTCTGTGCCTTTGCTCGCTCCCCTCAACCTCCCAGGGCTTCTCTGATCCCCTCCCACCAGCCCCAGGACATGGGATGGACAGGGGCCACCTCATTTGGAAACAGCAGGGTGTTCCTCTTATAGGACCCTCACCTCCTCCCAGCCAGTCCTGTCTTGTTCACTTGTTCAGGGTGAGCTGGCTCTGCCTGGCCCTGGGAGGGGGCGAGGGACACCTCCCCACACACAACGGGAGGCAAGAGCTGCCCACCCCCCCGACCTGACAGCAGAGTGTGCAGGACGCAGGCGGCCCCACTCTGATGGGCAGGACCCTGATCCTCTCCTGCCCCGCCCCCCCCCGGGCCCCTCCACCATGGTTTCACCCTCCCTTCTGTCTCCAGCCCCACTGGCAGAATCAGCTTTGAGTAACTGTACAGTGTTTCTCGCTGTTGGAGAAGACTTATTTGTTGGAGTTTCACTTGTTTAATGGTCTGGGCTTATTTTGGAAAAAAAAAAAAACAAAAAACAAAAAAGGATTCTGACCTTTGTTATGCTACATTTCATGGAAAATCTAGTGGTCCTGTCTCTGTGGCCTTTGCTTCTATCCCTTAAGCTGAGGCCATGGAGCACACAGGGTAGGTGTGGGGAGGGGGAGGAGGGGTAGGCGGAACGAGACCCCAGGGCCTGGGACCGAAGTAGAGAGAAGTCGGCTTTATTAACAGCGAAGGTTTGGAGGAGGGGAAGGGAACAGACAAAGCGAGGGGCCTGCAAATAGAACACTGGAAAAGCGCCTTCCTGCACGTCATCATCGTGTCTGTGCCAGTCCTGAAGGCCCTGGGACTCAGTCACTGTCACTGTCGGCTTCACTGGAATCAGAAGCTGCAGCTTCACTGCCATCCTGGGCTGAGTGCTCACTGCCACTGGGGAAGGGACTGGCGCTGCGGCTGCGCTGGCCACCGCCATCACTGCCGCTGTCTGAATCGTCACTGCCATGGGCCCGGCCTCTGTCCTCCTCATCAGAGTCAGCGTCGTCCTCCGAATCCGCGTCACTGCCGAAGATCTCCTCTTTGTCCCGGGCAGCCCGGGCCTCATCCTCACTGCTCTCATCCTCACCGCTCCCACTCTTGTCACTCGCCTCGTCCCTGTCACCTTCCTCCCGTTCACTCTCACTGCCTGAGCGCTCGTCCTCACTGCCTTCCTTCTCGCTGCTGCTGTCCTTCTCTCGCTCCTCATCTGTAAGGGAGCAGCGAGAAGTGAGGCCCAGCTTTCCAGCTTCCCAGGGCTCCCAGGGGTTGGCCTGTCCAGCCTTACCTGAGCCCCCAGCTTCTTTCTCTTCTGTTTCCATTTCCTCTTCCTCTTCCTCCTCGGGTTCGTGGTTCTCCAGCTGGGCCTTCCGTGCCTCCTGGAAGCAGCAGGGTTGAGGGGAAGGAGGGTGTTCTATGGGGCTTTTGTCCCTCTCCTCACCCACCACCCTCCCCACAGGTGCCCTGGGCCAGGGTCGCCTGTTACCTGGGCTTCCAGTTCCTTCTCGTTCATGTCCCGATGTTTGACCACAAGCAGGGCATTGGTACCTGACTGGACCCCAGCTTTGGCCCGGCGCTTACTCAGGCGGACCCTGCAGTGGGCGAGGCGGGGGGGCAATGTGGAAGATGTGGTTAAGGACCCCCAATGGGGGATCTGGTCTGACTTCGTTCTTACTACTTCACCAAAGCTTAGCCCACAACAGACCAGGATAAGTGCAGACTGAATAAGGGAGACGAAACTCAGGAGGTGGGACAGGACGATAGTTTCAAGAGCCCAGTTCGGTTGCCCTGCACTAAATTTATAAAGTATATATACACATATTGCACAGACAGAGATTTTCATGTGAATTAGTTACCACTTAAAAAGCAAAATCTAAGCTTCTGGATTTCTAGTTTGTAGAAAATAGGAAGCTATGGCCTCACTAGGCTGTTGCGCCCCCGAAAACATAGCAACAAAGGGTTGGAGCCCTTTGCTGGGCCGTGTCGTGGTGTCCCTTGGTTGCCAAGAGCTCCAGCTCACACACACCCCAGCAGACCACGGTGCCTTTTACATTCCCTGCCTGGCTTACGGGATCAGAATTTGTGATCTCAGCTTTAAGTAGAAACTCAAGGTCACACTTTCTTTCCCAACCCTTACCCCAAGGGCCCCAGCACAGCAGTCAACTTTTAGCCATCAGGGAAAAGTTGGGGGAGGGGGTGTCAGATTTTTGAATTTGGGTATCCAGCATCTCATTTAAAACATTGATGCTAACTATGTATTGCTCCATTCTTCGGCTATGTTACTTTCAGGTGAAGTCTCTTAATGTCGGGAAACTTGGCTGTCTACCCCATACAAAAGCTCTGATGTCTCCATTGTTAGGTAAAGATTTTCTCTGGGGTGTCACATTAACACCAGGTCCAGGCCACTTGCATGAGCCAGCTTCTGCTGCTCTTGCTTACTAACGCACATGACAACTCCTTAGGTACAGATGACCTCCAGGGTGGCCCTTGCACACCCCATGGTCTTAATTCTGTAACATAGGGCCGGGCTAATCTGAGATAGGAGTGTGCTGAGTACCTAGTCTCCAGTTCATTGTAGTAGACGCCATCGCCCTCTCGGAAGATGAAAAAGTAGTTTTCCTCGTAGCCCTTGCTAGCCTTGTTCTTCACGTTCCAGTTGTACTCGCGAGCAATCTTGTAGTCATACCTGAGGATGAGGGGACCAGGGTCAGCCCCATTTCCTCCCTATCAGAAAAGGAGATACTTCTCAGTCCCCAAAACCTCCCCCCAACCCACGCACACATCATCCGGTGCATAGTCCATCTCCTCTTCCTGGTCCCGCTTTCGCTTCTTCAGCGTCTCTTCCACAGGCAGGAAGTAGGCCACAAACTGGTTCCCTTCCTCATCCATCATGCCTCTGGTTGGGGGAAGGGGAGGAGCAGTGAAGAGTGACAAAGGGGCAGTAAGGAGCAGGCCAAGGTGGGTGCCAGGGCCACTTACCTGATCATGGCCTGAGACATCATCTCCAACGCAGCTGCACCACTTGTGTCCTTGGGGGCTGGGTCTGAGTCAAAGATTACCTGAGCACATGGGTTGATCCACATCTGGGGGGTGGACAGCACTGGGGTTAGACTGGGACAGGCAGAGATGGCAAGCTAACCCTCTCTGCCTCCTGCCCTGGGTCTGACCTTAAAATCTGGGAAGACAGGCATGACCTCCACTGGCGTCACCCGGGGCTTGCTGTAATGCTGGGAGATCTGGTGGAGGCGAAAACGGTGAGGAGGACGCAGAGCTCCAGAGCCACACCTCTGCCTCCCCCATCCCAGTCCCTCAATTACCGATTTCTGGGCATCCTCAAAAGTCTTCTCAATGGCTGTGATCTGGCTGTCCCTGTCTTTGTAGATTTCTTCCTCAGTGAACTGCTGCTTCACAGAAACTCCAATCCTAGGGGTCAAGAGACAGGCCTTTAGGGGCCATTGGACACAGCTGAAGTGTCCACGTTCCCCCTCTTCCCACAACTTACTTGACCTCAGGCTTCTCATTGGAGATGCCGTAACGGTTGAACTCGGTTGAGATGTACTCTGTCTTCCGCATCCATGGCACCACCTTTGCGTGCTGCTGGGATCTGGGGTGGGGGATCAGGTGCCTCAAGACTCCATCACCCTCCTCCCATCGGAGCCAGTCCCCACTCAGCACCCCCTCACCTCTTAGAGCTGGTGGGGGCCTGAATCTCCTCTTCCAAAAGCTTCTCATCAGCCGGATCTAGGAGTACTAGAGGGGAGCAAGGGAGCAGGAGCCCATGAGGGAGGCCCAGGCCCGGCCTCTGCTGCCCTAGAGCACGCCCTCCCCGCCTCCCCACACACCGTTGGGGTCAATGCGGTAGGTATCAGGGTTGATGAGGTCGATGGTGACCCCCAGGTCTGGCTCAGTCAGGAGGTCATGTTTGTGCTGTTTCTCCAAGGAGGTCGCCTTGTACTGGACGAACCTGGTGGGGAAACATGCCCATTATGGTTTCCTGATTCCAGCCTTCTCCCTCACATCCCTGCTTCCCAGAGGCTCAGCTTCTCCATGGAGGAACTCAGAAGGGAGTTCCTCCATGCTGGAGCCAGAAGGCTGGCTCTCCAGTGGAAAGAGACTTGGACACTGCTTGCTTCATTCATCAACAGATACTCTTGGCGCGCCTACTACCATGTGCTAGGGACGACTCCAGGCCCCGAGGGAGCAGTCACCAAGAACAGCGGTCCTTGCCCTCAAGGACCTCATGTTCTAGATGAGCTGTCTCCCCACCCCATCATCCCCATCCTTCTCACCTGTTCTGGTCGAAGGGGTAGGTGATGAACTTGGGGTCGAAGGGGATGTCAGGGAGGCTATTGCAGTACTTGACTCGGCAGACCACTCCAGACCTGGGAACACAGCGGCTCAAGACCTGGCCCCCGCCGCCCCACCTCTGCTCCCAGCCCCCGCTGGCCCCCCGTTCCTGGGAAAGCACAATGGGGCTCACCTCTCAGGCAGAGTCCGGTGGGAATTGGGCCTGGTGGGCAAGAGAGAGAAAGATGGAAGGACGGGACCGACAGGAGAGTGAAGGGGGCTTCTCCAAGCTTCTGAGAGAGGGAGGGGGTGACAAAAGCTCACTCCTTTTGGTGGGGGCGCTCCAAGCGCTTTAATGGAGGGAGCCAAATATTCAGTTCCTTTTAGATAAAGTGTCCCTAAATGCTTTAGCGAGTGGAGCCAAGCGACCAACCTCTTTTGAAGGAGGTGTCTTCCAAGTGCTTTAATAAAAAGAACCACATACTCCACTGTTTTTAGGGAAAAGGGTCTCCAAACGCTTGACTCAATCCCTTCTGCATAAAGTCTCCAAGAGCTTAATCCCTGAACCCCACGGCAGGGGAGGAGGGGGCAACACCGCGTCCTTGGAGGAACCCGCCCCTCTCCGTCAAAGGTGAGCCCTCCGTGACGTCACGGCGTTTGCAACGAAGGTTTGACGTCACAGGCAAACCTGGGGGGCCGGTGACTTTGTAGGCAGACACCCGCACTCGACCCCCCGCCTCGCCGAAACCTGGAGAGATCTAGAGGAAAGCCCTGCAGCCGGCGGCGCGGCGTCTACCTGTGGCCATCCTCCCGCTGGGCCTGGGTCTGGATGGTGGGCGCCATGGCGACGAGGCGACGGCAGCCCGGACGCGATCCTTGCCGAGTCGCGGGGAGACGCTGAAAGGCGTTCCGACTTCGGCGGACGCCGAGTACGAGGCAGCGCTCGGGCTGGCGCCGCTCTCCGCGGGGGCTGGGTCAGGACGAGGTGAGCTGCTAAGAAGAGTTCCAGTGGAGACTCAGGTAAACGCACAGGCAGCGCCGAGGACAGCCTCGCAGCTCCGGCTCCACCAACTGCCGCCAAGACGCTGAGGACCCCACAGGGCGCCTCAGGCCGCGAGGCCTTCTGGGAAATAGAGTCCGGCTCGGACCCGCACCCGGATTGGCGAGCGGCAGGAGGAAGGGCGGAGCGAGGGAGGAAGAGCCTCTTGTGATTGGTGAATTGGTATCTCAGTCTGGATTTCCAGTGTTAGAAGGTAGGGCGCCTTCTTTCCTCCCATTGGCTGAGTTTCCTGGGAGGCGGGGCTAACTAGCAAACAGGGCCTAGAGACCAGACACTAAAAAGAAGCCGGGAGAGACGCACTTGTGACGCACTTCCGAGGCGCTAAGCGAGGAAGATGGCTGCGTCCCAGCAGCAGGCTTCCGCGGCTTCCTCTGCTGCTGGTGTGTCGGGTCCTGGTTCGGCGGGTGGCTCAGGTCCCCAGCAGCAGCCGCAACCACCGGCACAGCTGGTGGGGCCTGCCCAGAGCGGGCTTTTGCAGCAACAGCAACAGGACTTCGATCCCGTGCAGCGCTATAAGATGCTCATCCCGCAGCTGAAGGAGAGTCTACAGGTGCTTGGCCGGGAGCTGCGAGAAGCTAACGGGGCTTGGCTCTCGGACTCCAGGGGGGCGGGTGGAGAGTCGTTTAGTCAGGAAGAGAGCGCAAGGAGCGTTAGGCAGGGAGCAGGAGTGAGACGGCGTGCTCCTGATGAGGCCCAGGCGAAGCTCTGCGGACTGACAGTCTGAGGCGGGGTCAGCGCGGATGTTGAGCCTGGGAATGGCCGGGACTCGAGTGGGAGGGAGTTTAAAGGAGAAACCGGGCTCTGGTGGTTAACGCCAGAGGAAAGGCCTGGTCTGTGCAGAGATTCTGCCCGTGATTGGTGGGTGTGGGAGGAGGCTGTTGGCGAGAGCCCCAGCTGAGAGCGGCCTCTGGGAAAATACGGTGGTTATTGCTATAGAGGAACGGAAGCGGGGGCCACTCTGGAGTGACAGGAGGAGAGGTGCCAAGTGAAGAGGAGGCCGGAGATTGGATGGATCTTAAGAAAGAGTGTAGATATACCAAAGGCGTCCCCTTCTGTGTCTCCATCTCCCGCATCTTTTTTTTTTTTTAACTAGACCTTGATGAAGGTTGCAGCCCAGAACTTGACTCAGAACACTAACATTGACAACGGACAGTGAGTGTAGTCCCCTTTCCCCAGGATGTCCTCCTATCTCCACCCCAGTCTTAGAAACTCATTCCCTGACCTTCCCCAACCCCCACCTTTCCTTCTGTTTTCAAGCCCAGCTCCCTAGCGCCCGGCCTTGTTCTTTTTGCTGCTTCTGCCACTAACGGTCCCCTAGGCCCTGCCTTGGGGCTCCTGAGCCTATACCTGCTTTCCTGATGATACTTGGTTGGGTAGACACTGATGTCCCAGAGATTGGCAATCCCTACCCCAGTCAGCTTCTTCTCCTGGGCTATAGAAAGAGCAGCGACGGACCCATGCAGCGCTTTGACAAGTGTCTGGAGGAGTTCTACGCCCTCTGTGACCAGCTGGAGCTCTGCCTGGTAAGGGGCCTCCCAGACACTGAGTGGCCACCACTCTGCCTCAGTCCCCGGGGTCCTCAGGAACCCTCGTTCAGTCAGTCAGCACAGACTCACTGCGCATTTCCTGCGGGCTGGCCCTGTGCTTCACCTAATGCTAGGGGCACAATGTTGCCCTGATGGTTGCCGTCAGAGAGTTTCCACTTCAGTGGGGTGACGTACATCCCCGAACAGCGACAATTCAGAGTGGTCAGGGCTATAATGGGAGAAGCCCAGGACTATGATGGGGGAAGTATAGGCAGAGGGGTCTGGACTACAATGAGGAAAGCTCAGGGGGCTGTGGCAGCCCAGAGAAGGCCCCTGGCCCTGCCTAGGGAGAGAGTGGCTCAGGGAAGGCCACTGGTGGAGAGCACCTCTGAGCGGAGGCTGAAACAAAAATGGAAGCAGGGCAGGACTTGCGAGGAGGGCACATTCCTAAGAGCACAGCCTCTGGAATCAGATGGGCCACCAGGCTCTCCCTGAGCCTTGAGTTCCTCCTGTGGAAAATGGATTTTCAGAAAGTCTCAGCAAGATCCTGCGTGCAAAGTACTTCCCGTGATACCGGGCACCTGGCAGATGTTTCATGTGGCATCATGGTCTTTATTTTGAAGGAAAAGTCAGAGTTTGAGAAGTCTGGTAGTAGAAGAAAGGTTTTCCAACCAGAAAGGAACAGCTTCTGCTTTAAGTTCCTTTTAGGAACGTGGTAAAATTCAGTTTGGCTCAGGTCTAAGTGGGGCTTGTTGCATTTTGAAAATAGCTCTGAGGGCAGTGGGGAGCCATGAAGGATTTCAGTCAAGGAAGAACATGGATCCATTTGCTTTTTTAAGGAATGTGTCTCTGGCTTTCAAATGAGAGATGGGTTAGAGGGGCCGAGAGTGGAGGCTGGGAGCCCAGGGAGGCAGCCATGGGAGGATTCCAGTGGGCTGGGTCCCACCAGGGCGGGGCCCTGAGGAGGTGGGGGAGGGCAGATGGGAGGGAGGCTCAGAAGGCATTGTGGACAGGCCATGGCTCTGCCAGGCTGTGCACCATCTGAGGCCCAGGGCTCTAGCTGGAATGGTAGGGCCATCCCGGGACAGGGACCCAGGAGGAGGAGTGGTTTGGGGGCGGAGTATGAGAGCTGTGGAATTTCAGGAGAGGCTGGGGACACAGATGTGGTGTCATCAGCTCAGAGGTGGAAACTGAGTGGCATGTGTGGGCGAGACAGCCCGGAGAGGGCATGAGACCGAGAGGAGGAGACGGGACCTGGGAACTGCCACGTTGAAGGCTTGGCTGGAGTAGAAGTCCCTAGAAGGAGCAGCCAGAGAAGTAGGAGGAAACTCAGGAGCAGGTGCCATCAGAGTCCACTGCCGGCTCCCAGCTTGTGGTCAGGACCAGGACGGTCACAGCAAGGGTACCTGACGTTCATTAGTTAGCACTTAAGTGCTGTGCCAGGAGCCGTGTGTATGTCTCACATGCTGTTCTCCTCTTATGGCGTAGCAAAGGTAGTGATGAAACCCATTTTCCAAAGGAGGAAACCAGCTCAAGAGGGACAGCCGCATGCTGAGGTCACCTAGCAGGTGGCTGGCAGGGCAGCTCGGACCCGGCGACCCTGGGAGTGCAGAGGCAAAGCAGGCTACCCCCGCCAGCCCTCGGGGTGGACTTGGGAGTCCCCAGAGGGAGGCTGACCGGCACCTCGCCTGCCTGTCCACAGCGCCTGGCACACGAGTGCCTGTCACAGAGTTGCGACAGTGCCAAGCACTCTCCCACGCTGGTGCCCACAGCCACCAAGCCGGACGCTGTGCAACCTGACAGCCTGCCCTACCCGCAGTACCTGGCGGTCATCAAAGCCCAGATTGCCTGTGCCAAGGACATTCACACGGCTCTGCTGGACTGCGCCAACAAGGTCACGGGCAAGACGCCGGCACCACCCACGGGCCCCGGGGGCACCCTGTGAGCCGGCGCGGCTGGGAGGGGGCAGGAGGGGGGCGGGGGACAGGGAGGGAATGAAGAGTGGCCTCAAATCAGCCTTGTGTCTTTTTTCCCCCTGCACAGCACGGCTCGAGCCAGCAGGGGGCGGGCGCAGCCAGCAGGCTGCACACAGGGCGGGGCCTGGGCTCCTGGCTGCCGGCTGGCGCGCGTGGACTTTGGACTGTGCCTGGTGGTGACCTCTTTCATGGGTTCTCCGCCGACCTGGCCTGGGTGTGGAGCCCTGTGTGGGCCCCTCGCCCTCATCCTTCCTTGATTCTGCCCCATTTTGGGGTGGTCTCTGTGTCTGCTCCTTTTTCTAGCTGTCCTCTGTGTGTCTCTACTGCATGTGGCTGTTGTCTCTCGCTCCATCTCTTTTTCGAGGCGCTCTCTCTGTCTCTGTGGTCTTGTGCCTCGCTGTCTCTCACCATCTCTCTCTTCCAGTCCCCTTTGCTGTCTTCTGCCTCCATCTCCTAACTGGGACTCTGTTCTATGAAGCGGGCCAGATTCTGGGAGCCAGAACCTTTGGGTTGCCTGGGGTGGGGGAAGGGTCGCAGCCAACCCCAGGGATCCCCAGCATCTCCCATGTCAGTCCAGTCGCCAGGGTCCTTAGCTCAGGAAAGGGGAAGTTGCGAGGGTCTAGGCCCTGACCTCAGCACGCCTGGTCAGGGAGCAACTCGGGCCCCCACCCGTACCCAGGGCCTGCGTCAGCAGCACTCAAACTAGGGGCGTTGTGCAATCCGTGGTGAGGCCTGGCCCAGCTGGATGCCTGGGTCCCTGTATTTTTAGCCCCAAAGCAGAAGTGAAAAGGCCCCAGTAGGGGTGAATCATCAGTCCTGGGGAAGAACCCAGGCGCCTGGGCTGCAGCTCCGGGAAGCAGGCCTTGGGGAGGGGGCTTCAGGGAGGGGGTGCCCCACCAGGCTCCCCACTTCCCTCAGAGCAGGCTTTGGGGAGCTCAGCCATGGCCGTCAGGTCTGGGCAAGTGCAGGGCGGAGCTCCCAGCCCAGGCCCAGCTGGTGGGGTGTGAAAGGCTCAAGTGACTCAGCCTGGTTGTGGGGCCGCCCCACCCAGCACCTTCTGTGCCGTGGTTCCCATGTCTCCACCCAGGGACCTTCTGTCCTGGACCCCACATCTGCAAGGAAACCCGGGACCTGGAAACCTGTGATTCACCCAGAGCCCAGGTCCCCCCGCTGGAGTCCCGGGAACGGCGAGCATGTGTGTGTGTGTGGCCCATCCCAGGAAGTTTCCCCGCCGCCTCCGTGTCCTTGACGTGCCAGGCACACAGGGCAGGCCTCGGGAGGGGCAGCAGCCCTCTCGGGCACTGGGGGGGACTTAGGGAAGCCACAGCTCTCCCCATTTGCCGAATCAGGCCCCCAGCTCCCTCCCCAGATCGTCCAGGATGCTCTCCTTCACTTAGAGGCCACTGCTGGTGGACCTGACTCCCGTCTACAAAATACTTTCCCAGCGACGTCCAGATTCATGTTTGATCGACTCCCTGGGGACTATAGCCGAGCCAAGTTGGCACATAAAACTGACCATCATAATCTGTTCCTTGTCACCCATACCTGTCTCCTGAACTGTACTTAATCTCCAGGTACAGCAAAGAATAAGAACAAATCTTATTTCCAGCTAACATGGTGCAGTTACCTATGTACAACCAAAAATGCACTTGTTCCCCAGAAGAGCCCACCGCCCTCCAGCCTGGGGGGACACACCACGTACTGGTGGAGATGTGACAGTCCCCGGGGCACACTCACAAGACAGGTGCAGCTGGCCCCGTGAGGCGGAGTCAGCAGCGGCACACACAGGTGGGGGCATGACCTCCCGGCACCATGACCCAGGGCCCAGCAGTGCCTACAGCCACGCCCAGGGAGACAGCCGGGACACCAGTGGGCAGCCGGGTGATGGATGCACAGTTCACCAGCCACGTCCGGGCTGGCAGCTGCGCACCAGGAAGCTGAGTTCACTTAAGAAACATTTATTGAGCATGTAGTGTGGGCCAAGCCCTGCACGTTGTGCCTGAAAGATCTCTGCCTTCCTGGAGCTGGGATTCCAGTGAGAGAGTTAAGTGGGATCAAGTAAGACAGTCTCAGCTAGAAGTTCCCAGAAGAGACAGAAAGCAGAGAAGCGGGAGAGACCAGAAGTGGAGAGAGATTTATAACAGCAAAAAAAGAATGGCACTTGGGGATAAATCTACACAAAGGCAAGATTTGCATATGGAGGACTGTGTTACTTCACTGAAAAGCATGAAATAAAGTTTGAGAGCTTGGGTTGGGTAGTGGTTCGTGGGTATTCATTATTATGGTCTGTAAATAGATGTTACAATGTATTTATTTGTTAAATAGATGACAAAATTATTTAAAAAAAATTTTTTAATCCTTGGCTGAGGTCCTGAAGACCTCACTGAGAAGGTGGTATTGGAGGAGACTTGAAGGAGAGGGAGGATGTTGTGGACATTCAAGGCAAGAACATTCTAGAACATTCTTGGTGAAGATTTTCACTAGATTGTTAGATCCAGGCGGAGATGGTGCAGGCTGGCGCGCAAGCACACACTGCAAGGAAGGGTGTGAGCTGCACAGCCACACGGCAACAGACCGTGGGGACACAGGCACACGTGACAGCCCTCAGCCCCAGTGGAGAATAGCATAGCCCACCACCCCACAGTCCTGGGGTCCCCAGGGTCTCTCTCCCAGTGACTGCCCCACAGACACACTCTTAAAGGAACAATTCACCGTGCCAATAACAAGCAAGCCTCTAACCACCGCCTCACCCGCTATCTCTCACCCCATCTCGCCCCACGGCAGGCAGACTTTGCCCATCACTGGCTGACTCAGCCCTCCCTCTAGCTTCACCTTATCTACAGCGGCCTTGGCTGGGCCACGATAAGGCTTCTCAGGTGTGAGTGTGTGTGCCTCCGCCCCGCCCTGCCCGCGGAGGCCACCACGAGTGGTGACAGCGACAGGGACCAGGGAGCGCAACAGCCACCCTCATCATGCGCGCTGTAGACGTCAGGAACCAAAGTTCACCAGTTTCACTGCCTTGTGACTGCGCCACAGGGGAACCGCATCCAGACGGCGGCCTCCCACGTTCTCAGCGACACCCCGAATGAGGACACAGCCGCGTGGGAACACTGTTCACTACGTACCCCGACCTCCAGGGGCCTCGCACACAGCCACAGCTGCCTACAGTCACACACGTGCTGGCACGCACACTCGGCTTCCAAGTAGCGTGTGCCCAGATCCTCCTCGCAGCAGAGGGCAACCTCAAGGAGTCGCACCCAGTCACTTCAGACCCCGCAGTGGTTCGGGGCCACACAGAGCTGTGCGGGCAGGGATGTAGGTCACACGTTCTCGTGAAAGCCACCTCAAAGACAGTCACAGTGGCGCGCACACTCCCACGCCCAGAGATGGTTCAAGCAAGCAATCCAGGCAATCACACAGGCCCAGGCGGTTTCACACATTTGTTCACCCGGCCATGTCCTGTGGGACTGTAAGTACACAGCGCTCACACCTATGTCCCCAACTGCACACCCAGGCACGCCAGCCCTCACCCGCCCGGTCCTGCCAGGGCACACGCCCTCGCACACGCAGGACACGCACGATTCCCGCGTGTACACACGCTGGGCGCCCCACGCAGTGGCATCCTCAGCCAGCCCGCCCGGGCCGCGCGCGCCCGCGCCGTCAATCACGCCAGGCGCGCACACGGCCCGGGCACACGTGCCGCGTACACGGCCGCCGCGCGCTCGCCCGGCTCTCACACCCCCGCGTTTCCCGTCCCCGCTTGTTTTTCTGGAAACTCTGCTCTCCGTTCCCCTCCCCCTCGGCCGGAAGTGCTCGCCGTATTTTTAGCCTCTCTGGTTTCCGCCCCTTTCCCCCGCGCTCTGCCCGCCCAGGCCCGGCCCCCCTGCGCCCCGCGGGGGACCCCGGCCATCCCCTTCCCCGCCGTCATTCCAGAGGGGATTCCCGGCCGCCGCCGGGGCCACGGATTTTCCCGCTGGCGACGTGGGGAACGGGGAGGAGTCCTGCCCGAACTTCCTTCTGGGCTGCGCCGCCCGAGGCCTGGAGCGCGGAGGGTGGGGGACGGGCTCTGAGGTCGGAGGGAGGAGGGGCTGCGGCCCGCACGCCCGGGGCTGAGCGCGGAGGGGGCTTGGAGACCCGGCCCCCCGGATCTGAGCCAGGAGGCCGGGGCTCCTGGGTCCCAGCCGTCCGTGCTTCGCTGGGTGGTCGGCCCTGCCCGGCGCAGAGCGCCCCCTCCAGCCTCTCCGAGTGTCGCCCAATCCCTAGCGTCCCAGCTCTCGGCCGATGACTCAGCAGATGCGAGAGGGGAGGGGGTCAGCCTGACTCAGGGGTGGGAAATGCACCCCGACTCCAGAATCGAAACTGGAATCCCTCCTCCAGGATGGCGGCCAGAGCCGAGCCGGACCCCAGGGTGCCCCCCACCCCCTTTTTGCCCGCCGCCTTCGTCCTACGAGCAGCACGGGGATGTGGAGCCCAGGCGAGAAGCGGGTGCCAGGCACCTCCCCTCTCCCCCTCTTCCCGTTGTCCTCCCGGCTCTGTTTACAGGCGACAGAAGCCCTGGTTACGAGAGGAACCCGGGCGTCCGGGTCGAGCCTCCTCGTCACGGCTTCCAGGAAGCCCCCCTCCCCCGCCCCTTGCGAGTGAGTCACGGGCGAGCGGGAGGCTGCGATCGTGCCAAAGGCGCCCGCAGCTCACGGGACCGGCCGGGAAGGCCCCTCGACCGAGAAAGCGCCGCACCAGGGATTCCCCTGCGCTCGGTCCGACGAGGCCAGGCGGCGTGCCTGGGAGAATCTCCTCACCTCAACACAAACCCGCAGTCGCAGCCTGCAGGCATCAACTTTCCACCATCATAAGTGCGCTCCGTGGCAATGACTTCTACCCCCATATTTCCACTCAGGGCAGCCAGCTCACCAAAAGCCCCTTAAAAAACAAGTTTTCTTCCCAGATCGTAGCAGTTTTCACTCAGGGCGACCCCTTGACAATAAAAGACCTGCCAATGTGGGGAATGATCCTCGCGAGTTTAGAGTTCTCTCAAGGCACACACCTTTAGAAGAGACGCAGCCGGCCATCAGTTGGGGATGACCCATTTCTTCCACCTCAGAGCAGCTTTCCATCAAGGCAACCCTCCACCATAATAAAAGCTCTCCCCCATTCCGATCCTGAGTTTTCTCAGAGGGCGAGCTCTTAGTATAATTCAAGGCCCTGGTATCAGGCTGCTGCCATTTATTAACTGGTGAGTATCTTGGCCTCTCTATGCTTGGCTTTCCTTGTGTGTAAAATGGGCACAATAAGACCGCCTTGAGCTAATGTATGTAAAGCGCTTTCATACAACAGTGCCTAGCCCAGAGGAGCCATCACAAGTGTCGTCATCTGCTCGAGGGCGAGAGGGTACAGCGGCCCTGGGATTGGGAAAGGAGGTCCCTTTGCAGCCTCCTCGGTATCTGGGACCCCACCCACCCACCCACCGCGAGTGGGGTCGGGGAGGGCGGTCCAGGTCTCCAGATCTGGGCTGTTTGGGAGCGAGGGCGCGCCAGGCAGGTAGGTCACAGAGGAGAAATGCCCATCAGGCCTGTAAGTCTCCTCTCCACTTTGCTCCTACGGATTTCTGCCGGGGGTGGGGGCGTTGTTTCCCCCTGTTTTTCTCCCTCCTTTACTCTGATTCTTTACGCGACCACCCCCCACCACTTCTTGCTCTGATTTTTCTCTCTGGGACTGGCTCTGTCACGTCTTTTCTGTCTCTTTCTCTCCACCTCCCCTCCTGTCCTCACCCTGTCTCTCCCTCCCTCCGCATGTGTCCCTGTGTGTGTCTGTCCCTCCCTCTGTGCGTCCCTCTCCGTGTGTGCTTTTCTCTTGGCGTCTCCCCATTTCGGTCTCTTCCCCTCTGCGCCTCTCCCCGCCCCCGTCCGTCCGTCCGTCCCTCTCTCGCGCACGCCCTCTCGGCCTCTGCCCTTGTCAGTTCCCCCGGGAGCCCTGCCCCCACCTCTGTCCCAGTTCCCTTCTCTGCACCTCAGTCTCCAGCCTTGAAAACTGGGCCGACACCCCCCACCCGCCGCCCTCTCCACCGGGTCGCCACCGCCCGCGGGCCCGGCTCAGGCGCGTCCCCGCCGGGGGCCGGGCGGAAGGGGACCGGTCCTGGGCCGGGCGGGCTGCGCTGGGGGCGCGCGTCCGGGAAGCGCCCCTCCTGGCCCCGCCCCCTCCTGGCCCCGCCCCCCCGCGAAAGCCCTATAAAAACCCCGGCCCCTCCAGCCAGCCGCAGCCTGGCTCCAGCGCTCCCACATTTGGAGGACACCCTCAGTCGATCGGCCGTTCGCGCCGCCATGGATCTCACCGCCATCTACGAGGTAAGCCCCCGCCGACCAGCCCCCGGGGACCGCATGCCTGACTCCCCCCTCAAACCCGGGCTCTCGAGCGCCGCAAACTCCGGCCCGGGCCCCTGGCTCCCTTCTCAAACTGGAGCTCTTTAGCGCCGCACACCCCGGCCCGGGGTCCCTGCCATCCTTCTCAGACCACTGTGACTCTCTGGAGGTGAAAATGGAGTCCACGACTTTCGGGTCTCGGCCCAAACCGGGGGGGGGTGTCCCTTGGAGATGGAAAGCTGGAAGACTCTTCTCAGGCTCGGGCTGTCTGGGGGCGGAAATGGCCCCACACCTGGCTTACCCCTAGTAGTTGCTGAGGGCGCGGTTTTGCGCGGAGGCGTTTCTGGGGCTGGAGTCGGGGGGTGAGGGGAAGCCGGCTTCTGGCTCTCCGCTCCCCGACCCCGAGGAGGACTCTGGGAACCCTAAAACCCAAGCGATCTGGACCCTTGGGGTAACTTTGCCCGCTCCTCCGGTTGTGAAACTGGAAACCCCTTTCACGGGGTCAGATCCTGAGAGGCCCAGAGGCTCAAATTTGGGGGACAGTGGTGTACCCTGACTTTCGGGTCCCCTCTTGATCCAGCCGGGGAAGCTGGGATTCCTGGGGCCCTTGGGCGAGGCTGCAGTCGCGAGTAAACTCAGAACCTCCTGATTGAGATCTCCGCGATCCGGAACCCCTGGGTTTCTGCGGGCGGGTGGGGCTCAGGCCGGGAGCCCACAAACCGGACTGGCAACCTCCTACGTGCCCTGCAGCTGGCACGGAGCGTCACCCTCCTTTTTCGGTGTCTTAACCGATCCCTGTTCCCACAGAGTCTCCTGTCGCTGAGCCCTGACCTGCCATCCGACCACGGAGACACCGAGTCCAGCCCGGGATGGGGCTCCTCGGGGCTGTGGAGTCTCAGCTCATCCGACTCCAGCCCTGTTGGGGTGGCGGCCCGCCTGCCTGGCCGCTCCACCAGCCTGGTGGAGGGTCGCAGCTGTGGTTGGGTACCCCCACCCCCAGGCTTCGCACCCCTGCCTCCCCGGCCGAGCCCTGAGCTGTCGCCCTCACCCACCTCGCCTACGGCGACCCCCACCACCTCCTCCCGCTACAAGACTGAGCTGTGTCGGACCTTCTCAGAGAGCGGGCGCTGCCGCTATGGGGCCAAGTGCCAGTTTGCCCATGGCCTGGGCGAGCTGCGCCAGGCCAGTCGCCACCCCAAGTACAAGACAGAACTCTGCCACAAGTTCTACCTCCAGGGCCGCTGCCCCTACGGCTCGCGCTGCCACTTCATCCACAACCCCAGCGAGGACCTGGCTGCCCCGGGCCAACCCCATGTGCTGCGTCAGAGCATCAGCTTTTCAGGCCTGCCCTCGGGCCGCCGAACCTCGCCACCACCAGCAGGCCTGGCGGGCCCTTCCCTGTCCTCCTGCTCCTTCTCGCCTTCCAGCTCCCCGCCACCACCACCTGGGGACCTTCCACTGTCCCCCTCTGCCTTCTCCGCTGCCCCTGGGGCCCCAGTGGCCCGGAGGGACCCCACCCAAGCCTGTTGCCCCTCCTGCCGAAGGGCCACTCCCAGCAGCGTCTGGGGCCCCTTGGGTGGCCTGGCTCGGAGCCCCTCTGCACACTCCCTGGGATCTGATCCCGATGAATATGCCAGCAGCGGCAGCAGCCTGGGGGGATCCGACTCACCGGTCTTCGAGGCCGGGGTGTTTGGGCCACCCCAGCCACCTGCAGCTCCCCGGCGACTCCCCATCTTCAATCGCATCTCCGTTTCTGAGTGACAAGTGCCTGCCCAGCACAGATCAGCTGGATCTCAAGGGGGGCCATTTCTCTTGTGCTGTGGGCTCCGCAGGGGCCCCCGGGGCTGTGGGGAACTGGGGACTCAGTCAAGTAGCCCCTTGCAAAGTGCATTAACCCACTCCCCTGACGCCACGCTGGGGCCGGCCCCCAGTGTGCAAGCTCACTGCTCACGGTGTTGGGGGAAGGCGTGTTTCCTCGGGTCCTTTAAAGAAAGAAAAAGATGTAGCAAATTTGAGGGAGGCAGCGAGCCCCCCCACCTCTCCCCTGCCCAATGCTGTGAATAATAGGCCCCGCCCCCCCCCAAGTTTTCCTTGACCCTGAGGTTCCAGTGTCTGGTGGTGACTGGACACACCTGGGGGGGAATCCTGGTGCTCAAATGTCCCCAAAGCAAGTAGCCAAAGCGTTGCCAACCCCCAGCCATCTGGCCCTTTATTTATGACGACTTTATTTATTCTAACAGATTTTATAGTATTTATATATATTGGGTCGTCCGCCTCCCTAGTCATTTTCTTCCTCCTTTTTGTAATATTGGAAACAATTGAATAATTATTGTTATAAGTATACTATAATATATTAAGTAATATATATTGTCAAAAGTTTATTTTTGTGTCTTCTGGAATTTTTAAATAAAAGGAATCTGTGTGGAAGCCGGAATCCTGGCTTTTCTGCGGTCAGGAGGCAGGGAGGAGAGGGGAGGGCGCTGGGGACTTTCTAGAAGCGGCGGAGTCGAGCCCAGGCTGCTCCGGAGCCGCCCAGCCGCGGCGCTCACCTGGCCGGAAGTGACGTCACCGGCCGCTCACCTGGGAGGGCGGGGCCAGGTGAGCTCACCGGGCGGGGCCGGGAGAGCCGGTTCCCGGGCGTGGGGGGCGCGGGCGTCGGCGGCCGGCGGACTCTGACCCAGCGCCCGGGCGGGGCCGAGGCGTTTCCGTCCCCACGGGGCCGCGGGCGGGCGGGCAGGACGGAATGTGCCGGGGCGCGGGCCCAGCGCGGGCGGGCGGCGGGGGGGGGTGGCCCGGGGTCCCGGGGGGGGGGAGGGCCTCCGCTTCCCGGGATCCTGGCGGGGGCGGCGGTGAAGCCTCAGGATTCCGGAATCGCGCCCCTGCGGCATCTCCGCGTCACTGTCGGCGACCCGGGGTTCTGCCCCGCGGGCGCTCAGGCCGAATCGGGGGGCGGGGGGCGGGGGGAGCGTTGAATCGTGGCCGGCTGCTTGCCGGGACCTCGCAGTTCCAGAACTTTCGCCCCCCGGGCCTCGAGCCGCCCGGGATGGCGGGCGCTCGGCGAGGGTGGGCCGCGGCGGCGGGCGGCGGGCGGGGCCCGGGAGCGGCGTCCTCCGACCATACAAGGCAAGAGGCGGCGGGCAGCGCCCCGCGCGGGGGGAGCCCGGGCCCGGAAGCCGCCCCGCGTCAGCGCCCGGCCCCGCCCCGCCCCCTCCCCCGCCCCTCTCCCTTCTCCCCCCGCTTGTTCCTCTCCCCTACCCCCCACTTCCCTCTCCTCTGCCCTCGGCCCTCCTCCGCCTGCGTCTCAGTTCCTCCCTCACCCTCTGCAACTCTTCTCCTTCCCCAGCCCGCCTGTCCCCTTCCCCTTTTAAATACTCTGCCCTTCCAGCCCCCATCCGCCTGTCCTTTGGACCCCCTCTTCTCTTTCCCTCTAGTTCTACTCCTCTCCCTTTCCCCCCTTCCTTCCCTCCCCACCCTCTCCCCCCGCCCCCTCCCCCCACCCATCCCCTCTGGCTAGTGTCCCCCTCCCCTTTGCCCTCCAGCCCATGCCCCTCCCCTCCTCTTGCCTCCTTGCCCTCTCCCCTTGCCCACTGGCAGGCCCCGACCTTTCATCTCCTCTTCCAGGAAGCGGCCCCCCCTTGTGGGAAAGGGCTCAGGTCCCCATAGGTACAAGAGGGTTGAGACAGACAGAAACGCAGAGGCCCAAGGCCATTGGGAGGCAGAGGGCAAGAGCAAGCCCTGCGGACGTTGACAAGCACTGAAGGGACAAGAAACAGACATCTCTGGTCCTTCCCTTGGCAACAACAAAAAACCCTCGTTTGAGACGACAGCACCGACCACCAGCCAGCGCTGCCAGACACCTGGGAGTCTCCTTGACTCCGCCTCTCTCTCAAATCCACATCCCAGGCCAACAGCAATCCTGTCGGATTCACCTTCCAAATGGATCTACAAGCCAGCCTCCCGCCTCCTCTGGCTACACCCCTGGTCCCATCCAGCATCATCTTCCCCCTGCAGCCCCTCCCTGGGCTCCTGGCTCAGGCCCCTGCTGCCCTCAGTCTGTCCCCACTCCCCCACTAGATAACGAAAGGGAACCTGTCATGACACCTGCGTCAGACCACATAGCCAAAGTCCTAAGTCCTCACCAGCCTACAGGGACTGGCTGTAATCTTTGGTCACTCTTGTGGTCACACTGGCTTCCTAGCTGCTCCACCAATACCTCTGACATTTTTCAGCCACAGGGCTTTTGCACTGGCTGTTTCTCTGCCTGGAAGAGTCCCCCAGGTGGCCCTGTGGCTCACTCCTCTCCTTCTGGTGTCCGATCAAATGTCTCCTCAGTGAGATGGTCCCTGACTGCTCTTATTGCAACCCACACCCCACCTCTCACTCCCCCATCCTCCCTACCTTCGGTCGTTGCTCTACTTTTTCCATGACATTGATCACCACCTAACATAAAAAATGCACTTAGTTCTTATGTCTGTAGCAATCTGTCTCCCCCCGCTAGAATGTCACATCATGAGGGGTACGGATTTATCTGGGTCCCTCCTGTATCGCCCACACCTAAACCGTAAACAGGAGCCGGTCACATAATGAATGTTCAGTAAACAAATTGATTCAGAAACGGAGAGGGGAAGAGGGTGTTAAAAAACTCCAAGACACACAAGAAAGAAAAATTAGTAACTAAACTTGTGATGATCATTTCACCATTTAGACATGTATCAATTCATTATGTTCTACACCTTGAATCAATTCAATGTTATTTGGCAATTACATCTCAATGAAACTGGAAGGAAAATGCAAGACAGAGAAAGAGGCAGTGCCATGCACAGTTTGCGGAGGATCCACAGCCTGACACATTTAGAGAAGTCTTACGCTGAGATTTGTAGACCCAAGGGAAGGCCCAGGCATCTAAGGGGCGATACCACCCTCTGGCGGCCAGGATAAAAACGGAACCTCCCCGCAACACACAACACTCGCTCCCTAAGCGACCGTCGCCAGAGTCCCAGGAGTCTTTCTAGCTGGAAAATTCCCAAGATCGAAATGTTCGAAAGAGGAAACTCTTAAGTGATGTGTGTTTGGGTTAATTTATAATCTGCATCAATTTATAAAAACTCATAAGAGAAAACTAAAGTGCTCCAGGTGAGGATCGAACTCACAACCTCGGCATTGCTCCGCTCGCACTGTCATATAAGTACCGCGCGCTAACCGATTGCGCCACTGGAGCTCCGGCCGCACCCTTTCGCCGCGGGGTCCTTCAGTCGTTCTTGGCCACGTGACTTCGTCGGACAGCCTTGCCTGGTATTGCATATGCAAATAGGAATCGTTGAGTTGGCCAATAGGAGAAAGCGCGTTGCCGGTTCCGGATTCTCACGCCTCCAAAGCCCTTGCTGTAAAAGGGAAAAGTCGGCGAGGCGTCTGGAATGTGGGGGTGTAGCCTGTCTGGGACCCGCCTTCTTATGAATATTCATAAGCCGGGAAGGACGGCGTCTTAACCCTTCGTTGCCGGGCCGGCCGGAAGGCGGCCCCTCCCCCCGCGGGCGGGAACAGGATATGAGGCCGGGCGGTTGGGGGGAGGGGAAGCCCCAGGCGACCGCCCCCCGCCCCACAGCTGGGACCAGACTCTCCCGCCACTGATGTGGCGCCGTCGCTGCCGCCGGAGCCCAGTCCCACCCATCCCGGAGCCTCAGGGGTCCAGAGTAGCGGACTCTGGCGCCCCGAATCTCTGCACCGCATCCTGAGACACCCTGAAGCCCAGGCCCCCACATCCAGGCTAGAGGACCCCAGATATCCAGATGCCCAGCGCCCCCTCCTGGAGGAGCCGGAGTCCAGGACATCAGCCCTGCGCGACCCTGGAGGCCGGGCTTCCTGCACCCTAGTTTGAAGAACTTAGGATCCCAGACCGGACATCCCCTCCTGGGCTTCCCAGAAATCCAAGACTCCCGGGGGCTGGAGGAACTTGGGATACGGACTCCCCGCGCCCCAACCAGTCTATTTTGGGCTGAAGCGCCCACTGCTTCAAGGGGACCCAGGAATTTGGGACTCCCCGGCGCTCCCGCCTGGAAGTGGTTTAACTCCTGCTCCTAGAGTTAGGGGAACTCAGGAATCCGGGCCCCCCACGGCCCGATCTAGACGACTCAGGAATTTGGGTCCCCAGCACCCCCATCTGAGACTCAGGAGTCGAGGTTCCCAGCATCCCCCATTTAGAGGACCGAGAAATTCGGACCGCTGCACCCCATCCTCTAAGAGGCCCCGGATTCTGGTTCCCGGAGCCGGAGAGCCCGAAGTTGACGCCCCCGACTTGGAGAGACCCAGGAGTCCGGGCTCTGCGCCTCCCCGGAGACCGTGCCGGGGGCCGAGGAGGAACCGGGTGCCTCGGTTCGGAGCTGGAGACTCCTCGGGAGGTGAGGGGGGAGCTAGGGGCCCCGACGGGCTGGGGGAGGGGGCGGCGCCGCCGCCGCTGAACAATGAGGGGGCGTGCCGGCGGGGGGCGAGCGGAGGCGCCGGCGGGAGTTGGGGGCTGGCGGGGTGTGGGAAGGCGCTGGGGACCCAGGCTGCTGGGGGTTGGGGGGCAGCGAACGGATCGAGGAGGGACCGGCCGGAGGCGAGTCGAGGGCTCAGGGCCAGTGCCCCAAGTCGCAGCCCTCGGCGGGGGAGGGAGCCGTCTGCAGGACCCTGGCATCCGGTCCCCCAGCCTCCTCCGCCCTCCCCTGGGACCCCGCGGCCTCCCGCCCACGGCTTTTCCCAGCCCTGCCCCTCGCCTTCGGCTCCAGCCAGAGCGCAAACGTTCCCAGGATCCCAGAGCCTCCGGCCCCAGAAAGACCAGACTCAGCTTCGGCGACTCTTGCTCTCTTCCCTCTTCTTTGTCTCGACCTTTCCATCTTTTGCTGTATGTTCTCTCTCCTTGTCCCCCTCTTTCTGTCGCTTTGCCTCTGTCTCCCTCATCTGTTCCTCCCCGGGGCCCCTCCCCGGGTTTAGACCACACTCCTGATTCTCAGCGCCCGATCTGTGAGTGCGGCCGCGGTGAGGCCTGTGGGGTCCTGATACCCAAGAAGGGGGTCTCTCTGCAGAAGCCGCTGAGCCGCTCAGCCATGCCCGAGGGAGCCCGTGGACTGAGCCTGTCCAAACACAGCCCTAGCCTTGGCCGTGGCCACACAGGTGAAGTGGGTGACTGTGCAGCTGTGTGTGAGACCCGCACAGGTGAGTGTGCAAGGGAGGGGCGGGGCCCGCGGGGTGGCCAGTCTTTCATTCAAGACGTTGTGCAGCCCTCTGTGGCTGGCCCAGTGCCAGGCACTGCGGGCCACACGGGGTGACCAAGACAGCCCCAGCCCTGCCCACAAGAGCTCCAAGTCTGGAGGGGGAGACGGACCCATCCACAAACGGTGACAGTCCAGAAGAGGAAGCCCAGGGCAGAGTGGTCAGGGCTGGGCTGGGGAAAGCGCAGGGGGCTGTGGGAGCGCAGTCTGGGAGGTCAGGGGAGGCCTCCTGGAGGAGGGGGACATCTGAATTGAGAATTGGAAGATTAGGAAGCATGAGTTGGGAAAGGCAAGGAGGAGTATTCCACACAGAGAGAACAGTATGTGCAAAGGCCCAGAGGTCAGAGGAGGCTGCCTATTTAAGTAACTGAAAGAAGATGAGTGTGACTGGAGTGTGGAGCATTGAGAAGTCTTGTAGCTATGGGAGGAGAGCAGACAGGAAAGCTCTCTAATGGCTACCTTGCTATCCACACTGTGGATCTGAGTTTGGACTTTATCTTGAGGACATGAAGGCGTTATACTTGTGGGAGTGACAGGGTCAGAAAAGTAAGTTAATAAAGATCTCCCAGGCTGACACAGGGAGGTGGATTAGGGGAGTAGAGTCCAGAAGCCTGGAGAGAACGGGACTGGACCAGTGCAGGGAGAGGAGAAAGGAGCCCATGGGAAAGATGTTGACCAGGTGAGGGGGGGAGTGTGGGGGCTGAGAGCTCTCAGCTGGGGAGACGCCCTGACCTCCTGTACCACACCCCCAGCAGCTCCTGCAAACCCTGCCATGGCCTCCCCCCGAGGGTCTGGGAGCTCCACATCCCTGAGCACGGTGGGCTCTGAGGGGGACCCGGCTCCGGGGCCCACCCCAACCTGCTCAACCTCCAAGCCGGAGCCCCTTCCAGGGCCCCCCATCAGTCTGCATCTGTCGCCCATGGGGACCCCCAGTTCAGCAAAACCCTCGAGGCTGGAGCGTGTGGCCCGTGAGATCGTGGAGACAGAGCGGGCCTATGTCCGGGACCTCCGCAGCATCGTCGAGGTGAGGCAGGCGGGCACCCAGGCACGGTAGGGACCCAGGCCAGGCCCTCCGCCCCATAACCCCAGTCGTCCCCACAGGACTACCTGGGCCCTCTGCTGGACGGCGGGGTCCTGGGGCTGAGCACGGAGCAGGTGGGCACACTGTTTGCCAACATCGAGGACATCTACGAATTCAGCAGGTCTGGGGCCGGTGGGACAGGCTGGGGTGCTGGCTGGGCGGGGGGTGGGGGAGGGTGGGTAATGTCCTAACCCAACCTTGGAGCCCTATAGTGCCCTGTCCAGGCTGGTCCCTGGCGTCTCATGACATTGGGCAGGGATCATGATGGTGATTGAGGACCCAGAGTGATGGAGGGGTGGGGTGGACAGGAGCCTGAGGACTCGGATGAGGTCCAGATATCAGGATGGGTCTCAGTGCTGTGTTGGGTCTGGCGTCACGATGCATCCAAGACTCCCATGGGGCCTGAAGATCATGACAGCATGAGCGTTTGTATGACCAGCTCGTCCTGGGAAACCCCTCAGACCCAGACAAACCAGGATGCTTGGCCCCCCTGTGAAGAGGATGCTGGGGTCCACGGATCATGACACCTCTGAGTGTCTTGAGATTTTAAGATGATTGCAGGAGGCCGGAGCGTCACGACAGGATCTTGGGGTCCCAGCTCTGAGGGTCATGACACCCCTCTCCGTGGGTCGTGACATGAGACCCTCAGGCTCAGGCTGGCTGTGCCGAGATTTCAGGCTGAGGAATGGGACACTGTCCAAGGGCAAAGTGATCAGGTTGCGATCGCCCATGCAGCAATCAGAGGACCCTTCCTCTGGATGTGACGTCCCCTTGAGAGGTCCTGGCGGCCACCAAGCCCCCAGCCTCCTGGTGTCTTCCCCTGGGCAGGGGCCGTGGGGCGGGACAGCCCTCACGCTTCCCCTCTCCCCACAGCGAGCTCCTGGAGGACCTGGAGGGCAGTGGCAGCGCGGGGGGCATTGCCGAGTGCTTCGTGCAGAGGGTGAGTGGCGGGCAGGCGCTCTCTCCCTCGGGGATGGGGTCTGGGTCAGAGGGGAGCAGGCCTGGGCTAGGCTGGAGGGGGGTCTTGGCGAGTCAGGAGTAGAGGTCTCCCTGACTCCCGTGTCACCCGCAGAGCGAGGATTTTGACATCTACACGTTGTACTGCATGAACTATCCGAGGTGAGGGGCGAGCAGCCCCTGCCGGGCCCCAGGCCGTGCCCACCAACTGATGTGCCAGCCAACCTCCCTCCCCACCCGTCCAGCTCCAACCCCCGCCAGACCGTGACAGTAACCGACCTCTCCCCACCCCGCCCCGACCCCTGCCAGCCCCCGTTTCTAAGCCCCGGCCCCTCCCAGCCCTGCCTGCCGGAGCTGCCGGCCCCCCTGACCTGTGCTGTGCCCCCAGCTCCCTGGCCCTGCTCCGGGAGCTGTCGCTGTCTCCGCCGGCAGCCTTGTGGCTGCAGCAGCGCCAGGCCCAGCTCCACCACTCGCTGCCCCTGCAGAGCTTCCTGCTGAAGCCTGTTCAGCGCATCCTCAAGTACCATCTGTTGCTGCAGGTCAGCGGGGGCCCTGGGGGCTGCTTGGGGAGGGCGCGGGCCTGTCCGCTGATCACCCTTGGAGGGTGGACCCGGGATGAGCTGGGCCTAGAAACTGAGCCAGCTCTAGGGGGAGAGGCTTGCTGGCAGTGGGGATAGGCACCCACTGTTCCCCTTTCTGTCTCTGCCTGTCGCCTCTGCTTTTGGGTCTCCATTTCTGCCCCTCCCGTTCTGTTTCTCTCTGCCTCTTCTCATCTCCGTTCCTTCTCCTTCTGTTTTTCTTCCCCTCCTGGGTGCCCGGCGGTGCGGGCAGGAGCTAGGCAAGCACTGGGCGGAGGGGCCGGGCGCCGGGGGCCGAGAGATGGTGGAGGAGGCCATCGTGTCCATGACAGCGGTCGCCTGGTACATCAACGACATGAAGCGCAAGCAGGAGCACGCTGCGCGCCTCCAGGTGGGCCCAGGCTGGGCGGGGCTGGCTGCGAGGCGTGGGCATGTGGGTTCTCCATGGCCGGTGGTCAGTGCTTCAGAGGCAGCCTGGGAGGGTGGGCTCGGACAGCGTGGACGGCGGCTAAGCCCCCGTCCTGGCGTGGCTGGGGCCCCGCAGGAAGTGCAGCGGCGGCTGGGCGGCTGGACCGGCCCGGAGCTCAGCGCTTTCGGGGAGCTGGTGCTGGAGGGGGCCTTCCGAGGTGGCGGAGGAGGCGGCCCCCGACTCCGAGGGGGTGAGCGGCTGCTCTTTCTATTCTCGCGGATGCTGCTCGTGGCCAAGCGCCGGGGACCGGAATACACCTACAAGGGCCACATCTTCGTGAGTGCAGGGATGGGGGTGTGGCCAGAGTGTCCCCCGTGAGGTGTATTCTATGTGCCTGGACCTGTACACCCAGAGGGGGTGGGGGCAGGGTCTGCAAGGAGGGACAGCCCAGCTTAAAAGGGCCGTGTTTTCTTGAGTCCGAGGATGGGAGCAAGGTTTAATAAGGAGGGGTGAGGCCAGCAGGATGCAGAGGTGAGGGTCTGGAGGAGAAGCATCCTCATGGGGGGAGCACATCTTGATCCAGATGAGGGTGAAGAGGGGCTGGTGAGAGACAGCAGAGCCCAGCCTGCTGGGGAGACTCAACGGAGGGAAAGGGGACCCACCATACAGCCTTACAGGGCCAGCTTTGTGGGGGGTGGGGACCCGGATGCACACAAGGGGCACATGACTGAGCCAGGGCTCTGAGCTTGCCGCCCCCTCTGACCCCCTCACCCAGTGCTGCAACCTGAGCGTGAGCGAGAGTCCTCGGGACCCCCTGGGGTTCAAGGTGTCCGATCTGACCATTCCCAAGCACAGGCACCTGCTCCAGGTGAGCATGGGGTGGGGCTGGGTGGGCAGGGCCCCCAGCCCCTGGACTGCACACCTGGCCCCCAACTTCACCCCCACCCACCCCCAGGCCAAGAACCAAGAAGAGAAGCGGTTGTGGATCCACTGTCTCCAGCGCCTCTTCTTTGAGAACCACCCTGCCTCCATCCCTGCCAAGGTAGAGCTGGGGCCCTCGGCGTGCGGCAGACACTCCCCCAGTACTGAGACCCTGAGGGCAGGGGGCTCTCTGAAAACGTGCTAGTTAAATGGCACAGTTAGGCTGCCTGGGTTTGAATCCCATTTCCACCAGGTCCCTGCTTTGTGACTTTGGGCAAGTAACTTAACCTCTCTGGCCTCAGTTTCCTCACCTGGAGGACTCATAGGACCGACCTCACAGGGTGGTTGTGAGGATTAATCGTCACCAGTCATGTGACGTGCCTGACACGTAGCAGCGCCCGTTAGTGGGGCTCTGACTGGGGTGCCCGGAGACCAGCCCCCTCAACCCTCGTCCTTGTCTCTTTCAGGCAAAACAAGTTCTCCTTGAAAACAGCCTGCACTGTGAGTTAGGGCCTTGGGTTGGGAGGATGCGGAAGTAAGAGGAATTACTTTAAGAAAAAGCAGATTATTAGCCCCTAAATCTCTCCCCGCAGGTGCTCCTAAAAGTAAGCCTGTCCCAGAGCCCTTGACGCCCCCACTTGGATCTCCCCGACCTCGTGATGCTAGAAATTTCACTCCTGGGCGAAGGAACACAGGTAACGGAGATGGAACCCTGAGCCCCCCCGCCACCTTCTCCCCCAGGACTCAGGACTCGCACCCCCAGCCCCCTGCTCCCTCAGGAGCCTGGAGCCGGGCTCATAATGGTGTCTGATCTGCCTCTCCCACAGCTCCGTCCCCAGGACCCTCTGTCACGCGCCGTGGCCGCAGGCAGTCTGGTGAGTACCCACTACCAACAAGGGAACCAGGGATTGGGGTGGGGGCTGGGCACCTGACATCCCCGTGTCCTCCCCCCAGAGCCAGTGAAGGACCCTTATGTCGTGTTTCAACAGAATGGTAAGTGACTGCCCCAGCCCAGCCTGGCCCATCCCTGTCTGTCTGTCTGTCTCTCACCATGGGATGCCCAGTGTTCATCAGGGAGGGGTCATGGGGTGGCCCATCATTTAGAAGGAGTAACACTTGTTCCTGCATCTCACTCTTTTCTCTTCCTCGTCTCTCCATCCCCAGCTAAGCCTAGGCTCAAGGTAAGAAATATCCTGGGACTGGGTCTGGGGACCCGGGCTTCTGGGGCTGGTGGAGGAGGAAGCTTGAGTTCCCACATCGTGGGTCTGAATGAGAAGGGGGCTGGGGACTGGACTCCCCTCTGAGGGAGGAGGGGGCTGGGGGCCCTCGGCTCTCGCCCTCCATCCTTTCCTTCCGCACAGCATGCTGGCAGTGAGGGGGAGCTCTACCCGCCCTTAGAGCCTCAGCCACCAGTTCCAGCTTCTGGACCCCCTGAGGACCTGGAGGACACTGGACCCCCCACACTGGACCCTTCTGGGACTTCCATCACTGAGGAAATCCTGGAACTGCTGAACCAAAGAGGCCTCCGGGACCCGGGGGTGAGCCGGGTGTCCCATCACCGTGTCCTTGGGGCTCTTGGCTTGGGTGGGCACAGACGGGGGGTAGGGGGACCAACCCACCCTGATACCTCTGGCCTCTTTCCTGGTGTTTGCTGCAGCCATCGCCTCATGACATTCCCGAGTTCCCCGGAGACTCCCAGGTGCCAGGCGACAGCGAAACCCTCACATTCCAAGCCCTGCCCAGCCGGGATTCGTCAGAAGAGGAGGAGGAGGAGGAGGAAGAGCTGGACATGGACGAACGGGGGCCCTCCCCACTGCACGTGTTAGAGGGGCTCGAAAGCTCCAGTGCTGAGATCGCTGACGCTCCCTGCCTTAGCAAAAACCCTGACGGGCCCAACCTCCCTGAAATTCCCGGCCTTTCTGAAATTCCCAGCATTCCCCGCCTTCCCAGTCTTTCGGACATTTCCACTGTTTTTGAAATGCCCTGCCTTCCAGCCATACCCAGTGTCCCTGACATTCCAAATCTTTGCAACGCTCCCGCCCTTCCCGCTGACTCTTGGCTCCAGGGACCTCTGCAGGAGCCGGAGAAGGCTCTAGCCGCCAGGAGAGAACTGTTCCCTGGCAGCGCTTCTGGAAAACTGGGGGAGCCCTCCTCAGGAGGCAGGGCAGAGCAAGAGGAGGAGGAAGGGGTAGCATTCCCAGATTTCCAGCCCCAGGACATCCCCCGAGATCAGGGGTTCCAGGATGAGCTGCCATTTCGCTCTTGCTCAGAAATCCGGAGCGCCTGGCAGGCACTTGAGCAGGGGCAGCTGGCTCGGCCAGGTTTCCCGGAGCCACTGCTGATCCTGGAAGATTCGGATCTGGGTGGAGGCAGCAGGAATGGCAAGGCAGCAGCCCCGAGTGCGGAGAGGGCGGCGTCCCGGGTGCGAGAGCTGGCCCGGCTCTACAGCGAGCGGATCCAGCAGATGCAGCGGGCTGAGACCCGCGCCTCAACCAATGCCCCCCGCCGCCGACCCCGGGCTCTGGCCCAACCCCAGCTGGCCCCCTGCCTGCCCCATGAGCAGGCCGAGCCAGGTGAGGTCCGGGTGTGTGGTCGGCAGAGGGGCCCGCCCTGTGGCATCAGTCCTGACTCGCTCCTCCTTTCTCTGCATACAGGGCCCCTGCCTGCCTTTGGACACATGCTGGTATGTGAGCTGGCCCTCCCGCTGACCTGTGCCCAGGAATCTGTCCCCCTGGGCCCCGCTGCCCGGGTTCAAGCTGCCACACCTTTGTCTAAGCAGCGAGACTGCCCAGATGGCCAGAGTCTAAATGTTTCAAATGTGCCTGAGCAAGACCGTCTAGGCACCCAGCTTCCAGCTGCCACCCCTTTGCCTGAGCAAGGAGGCCTCTGGAACATCCAGAGTCCAGCCACCACACCTTTGCCCAGGCAGGACTTTGGCCCCTTGACCGTCCAGATTCCAGCTGTTACAACTTTGTCTGATCAAGAAGGCCACCCGGAAATCCCGGTTCCAGGGACCACTCCTTTGCCTGAGCAGAGAGGCCCCGTGGATATACAGGTTCCATCTACCGCCTCCTTTCCTGAGCAAGGACACCACGTGGACATAGAAGTTCCGACCGCCCCAGCTTTGCCCGAGCAGGGAAGTTGTTCTCATGTCACGGTTTCAGCTACCACTCCTATGCCCAAGCGAGAAGTCCTCCTAGACAGCCAGAGCCCACCCAGCCCCCCAGTAACTAAGCAGGGATCTTCTAGCAATGCTCAGTTCCCGGCCGCTATCTGCGGCCAAGCTGTCAGCCCTTTGCTCGTGCACAAAAGCAGCCTGGACCATCAGATCCCAGCCAAGACCCCAGTGCCCTTGCAGCATGACCCCCCAGACGTTCAGGTTCCGGGTACCCCACCTTTGCCTGCACATGGAGGCCACCTGGACTGTCAGATCCCAGCCAACGCTCCATCGTCTTTGCCCCAGGACCCCCCAGATGTTCAGGTTCCAGGAACCCCACCTTTGCCTGCACATGGAGGCCGCCTAGACCATCAGATGCCAGCCAACGCTCCATCATCTTCGCCCCAGGACCCCTCAGACCTTCAGGTTCCAGCTGCCACGCTTTTGCCCCAGCCACAAGGCCTCGCAGGCACCCGGATCCGAGCCCTCCCATCCTTACCCAAGCAGGGAGGCCTCCCTGACACCCAGGGTCCAGCTGCTGCACCTTCACTTCAGGAGCAAAGCCTTTCAGATCCCCAGGTCCAAAAGCACACACCTGTGTTGGAGCAGAAGCGTGTCACTACCGTCCATGTTCCAGCTGCCACACCTTTGCCTGAGCTGGGAGGCTCTGGGGACGTTCAGGGCCTGTTACCCACCCCAGTTCAGACCACCATGGTTTTGTCCAAACCTGGAGGCCACTCGGTCTCTCCTGTCACCAGTTCAGAATCTTCAGACTTGACCCCACCCCATAGTCCCCTACCTGCAACCCGTCAGCTCCTGGGCCCCAACGCAGCTGCCCTCTCAAGGTACCTGGCAGCATCATACATCAGCCAGAGCCTGGCTCGGCGTCAAGGGCCTGGGGGAGATGCCCCCCTAGCCTCCCGGGGCCCCTGGTCCTCCTCTGCCCCAACATCACGGGCACCTTCACCGCCACCCCAAGCCCAACCCCCACCGCCCCCAGCCAGGAGGCTCAGCTATGCCACCACTGTCAACATCCATGTCGGGGGTGGGGGGCGGCTGCGGCCAGCCAAGGCCCAGGTCAGGTTGAACCACCCTGCTCTCTTGGCGCCCACCCAGGAACCCATGGGTCTTCGCAGGGCCCAGGGGGCTCCAGACGCCCCTTTCCACACGTGAGCCAGGATGTCAGGCTTCTTGAAAAGCAAGGACTTCAACCAGATGCCACAGACCCTCAGAACTTCACCCAGAAGTCTAGACACTGAACACAGGTCTAAAGATGGCTGCAGCTTTCCAGCTCCTGGGATCTGCTTTGGCGAATGGTTCTTGTTACTTACCTTGATTAACTCAAAAGGGATGGGGAAGGGGTGTCATTAATATTTTGTTAATTAATATTATGAAATTATGTCTTTTTTCCTATTCTGGAAGCGTTGGGGGATGCCAGAAGACAACAATGAATGGGAAAGTCTGGCAGAGCATGAGTCAGTGGCTCTGAAGATTTGGGGAATCTGACTCCTTTGAGAATTACTAGCAACTGGAGCCATTGCAATATGACTGTATGACTTCAGAGGGTTTATGAACTGCTTGATGTCCATCCAGGAAAGCCAAGTTAACAAGCTTTGTTCCACCTAGACCCCTAAAAAGTCATGCCCTTAGCAATTTAGCCAGTTCATGCGGCCCACCGTCATCCATTCATCTCATCCACTCAGCCATTTCTGCATCTATCCGTCCAGCTGTCTCTCCGTCTGTCTGTTTATCCATCTTCCAACCCATTATCCTACCCACATGGCTCGCTTTATTCAACCCTCTCTATCCTATTCATCCAGCCAGCCATTATCCTGCCCCCCATGGAACATCCATTCCTCCATGAATCTCTTCATCCATCTATCATCCCACCTGTCCATCTTCTCCATCCAACCCTCTCTATTCATCCATCTGTCTCTCCATATTTCCATCTCTCCATTCATCCATACAGCTCATTCACTCAACCATGTCTTAATCCATCAAGCCAGCCAGCCATCCAACCATTTAAATATCTCCACCAATCCCTCCTTAATTGAATCTGGGTGTTGGTACTGCAAAACTTCAGAGACAGTTCCAGCTAACATCAGAGTGGATCAGGTTTGGGATTCTGGAAAAAAGCCTGTCCCACATCTGCCTGATTTCTCTTGGCAACCACTCCCCACCCTTGTGAATATTCTAATTCTTGCACCCACCCATCCACATCAGATTCCTTTACCTGCTCTGGTTTGGGACCTCTACGGTGCCTCAATGTGCCCCACCCCCCCAAAAAAATTCAGGGGGTAGAGACAAAGGCTTTTATATTAGGATCGTTCTGCCTGCCCCATCCCCCCCCCCCCCCCCCCGGCAGTGGTATGCCCAGTGAGAAGCATAATTTAAGCAGTTTCTTTGGTAATACTAGCTTCTTCCATTGGACACCACCTCTCTTGCTTTAGCATATTATCTTATTTAATCTTCCCTGGAATTCTGAGGCACCAGTGTCACTGCTGAGTTCAAGTCCGGGTTTTTCTGGTTCCATGGTGTGTAACCTCCCTCTGTGCCTGGGTTTTCTCTTCTGTACAATGAGGACAACACTACCTGCCTCAGGATCATGATGAGGATTCCACGAGTGTACCCTCCCTTCTGAAGGCGTCAGAGCCTCTGACTCACCAGGGCATTGTCTGGATCAACCCCTAGGACCTAGTCCCACAGTGGAACCGGAACCTCTGGCGCAGGGGCCTAGGAAGCTGAAGTTTTAACAATTGGCTATCAACAGCCAAAAAAGCGGAGATTTACTGAAGTACTAACTGCATACCACGGGCATTTGTCACTTTACATGAGCTCATTACTGAGTCCTCACCACATCCGTAAAAGGCAAGAGGATGGTTTTGAATCCCCACTTTAGAGATGAGAAACTGAGGCACAGGACCCTAAGGGACTTGCCCATTACACAGCTAGGGAGGGGCAGAGCTGGGACTCGCATGAACACAGCCTAGCCTGAGTCCATGCTCCTGCTCTTCCAGTGCCTCTCCTGGGCCAGACCCAGCTCTTGCCACAGGGGGCACGACAGGGAGCACTTCCCGGCCCGTGTGAGGCCCGAGGTGATGATTATTCGCTGATGAGGGAGCCAGACCAAGGCCCAACTCAGTGAACGTCAGCTGCAGCTTTCGTTCAGTGATTTACTGAATGGTTCCGGCGCCACACACCAGGCCTGGGCCTGCTCCACCGCAGCCTCCCCAAGGTCAGCACTGAGGCCGGCCCTCCCCTCCTCTGCCCCCAGCTGCACATTCCCAGCCACCCCCAGCTGCACATTCCCAGCTGAGGGAAAGTTCCCAGCCTGGCCAGGGCTCCCAGTGGCGCCGGAATTCCCGGTATTTGAGGAGGCGGCAGGGAGGGAGAAGGGGCTGTCTACTCCAAGGCCTGGGGCAGGCACAGAGCCGCGAGCCCGCTGGGTCTCTCCAGATGTGTCCCAGCTGTGCCGCTGGGAGGGAGCCAGCAGCCTCAAATCGGGGATCTCTGGCCCTTGCGGGAAAACCATGGGCACCGGGCTCAGCACAGCCCCTCCAGCTGACCCCTGCCCTGAACCCCATTCCTCCCGCCCAACCCCTACCTCTGCCTCGAGGCCCCGGCTCCACCGCCGCCTCAGGAAGTCTTCTTGCTCGCCTACTACAGTCTGCCTGCTGTAAGCCGTCGTCTTCAGGGCTACAGTGACAGCAGGCTCACAAGGCTGAGAGTGGCTGCCCACTGCCTCCCTCGGGACACTGCTGCCCCCTTCGGGACGCTGAGGTGACGCCAGCCAGACCCAGGTAACCCAAGTGAATGCCAGTTCCAGCGCACAGGCGGGCGAGCTGCAGCTATCTTACCTCTAGGCCAATTCTCATCTGCTGATGGTGACCTGCTGGTCACCAGCCTCAGGGGACGTTGTGAAAATACATTCAACAATGCTTAGCCTGGCAGTTGGTTGGCGCTCAGTCAACCCCTCCGCCTCTCAGCACTTTACTGTGTGTATTCCCCGTCTATCCGCGCTGTCCCCCAGAACCTTCCCTGACGACAGAATGTTCTCTCATCTGTGCAACCCAGTTTGGGAGCCCCATGTCCTGACATGGAACAGATATACAGAAAGGGCAACAGGACAGCAAGTCTCAAGTTCCTTCTTTTATAAAGAAAGTGTGTTGGGGCGGCCCCGTGGCCTAGTGGTTAAGTCCAGCGCACTCCGCTTCAGTGGCCCAGGTTCGGTTCCCAGGCGTAGACCTATACAACTCTTCAGTGGCCATGTTGTGGCAGCGACCCACATACAAAACAGGAAGACTGGCACAGATGCTAGCTCAGGGGCAATCTTCCTCAGCAAAACAAGACTTGTGAAACTTTCCCCCTCAATCAACATTCAAGTGTGGTGTGTTCGCCAGTACTCCCAGCGGAGGAGGCATGTGGGACCCCACTGGAGGGCAGATGGCGGCACAGGCTGGTATGGGAGCCGAGCCCTTCCCACCCCAATGAAGCTTAGTAGCCTCCTATAAAAATGGGGGGAAAATTACAGGCAACCTAATGCACATGCAACACTACTTCCCTACACATGGCAGCACGGTCCCACACAACTCTGACGATGGAAACGGTCCGTCATCTGTGTCCAGGGCAGCGAGAGAGAGCCCACCATATGCTGGCTTTCATTACACGGCAGGCACAACAGACGAACAAGTCCTCAGAGCCACGTTCCAAGCCCCCTAAAGACAGCTACCACACTGAGCATGACTGGCACCTGCTTTAAGATGATGGGGGCCCTTCCCCAGGAGGTAGTGTTGACATCCTGAAGGATGAAGCCTGTCTAGAGAAACCCACCTCTGTGAGGCTAACAAGCCATTTCCTCCAGATCTCAGTCCCAGCTCCACCTTAAAGTGGCATTCAGAAAAATCCCGGGGCCAGCCCAGATCGCAGGTGTAGACATGGCACTGCTTGGCACACCATGCTGTGGTAGGCATCCCACATATAAGGCAGAGGAAGATGGGCACGGATGCTAGCTCAGGGCCAGTCTTCCTCAGCAAAAAGAGGATTGTCAGCAGATGTTAGCTCAGGGCTAATCTTCCTCAAAAAAAAAAAAAAACTCTCTCCCAGCCCAGGCATGGCCCTCAGTCCCTGACTTCTGGCTCCACCCAGGTGGTTTCTCCTCACTTTCTGTGTATTAAAGATTACTGATTTTACACGTGTCCCCTGCTCTTCTCCCATGTGCCATTAAAACAGCAGCAAAGGGACTGAAAAAAAAGACAAGCTCACCAAGACACCCCACACAACCAGTGGCCTAGAACGGTCCCCCCGACCTCAGTTCTGCCCACACAAAGGACTCCCCTGGAGGCGCAGGGGGATGAGACCAGGTCTGCTCCCGCCTGCCCCTCCCACCCATGCGCACTAACCCCAGAGTGGTGACTTCTGGAAAGGCTTAAAATCCAGACGGGCAGTGAGCTGGGGGAGCTTCTTCCTTCCTTCTAGTCAAAGACCCATGACAAAAGACCACAGCACAGTCCTTGAAACCTCACACCCCACAACCAGTTTATTATAAAGGTGAACCCCGATCCTCTGGATGGGCTTATCGGTAGGATTTCTGGTAGCGGGCACGGGCACCAGGACCTCCGAACTTTTTGGACTCGCAGCGACGGGGATCAGCTACCAGCAGGGTCCGATCATACTGGATGAGGATGTCTTTGATCTCCTTCTTGGAAGCCTCATCCACGTCTGGGGTTGAGAGGGATGGAGATTTAGACAGGTGCAGAAACGTCCTCCTACTTCCCAGGACTAAATGCCAGAGCTGGTCCTCGACTTGCACCCCCCGCCCGGCACCCGATGGAAAGACCACTGTTACTCACATTTCTGGTAGTAGGCCACCAGTGCTTTGGAGATGGACTGGCGGATTGCTGTGAGAAAAACACACACAAAAGGGTACATCAGCTTTGTGAAGGCCCCAGAGGAGGCCTTGCTCTCAGAGCCACCTCCCACCCACGGGCCCAGTTCCTGGGACTCACCATAAATCTGGGCAACGTGACCACCACCCTTCACACGGACTCGGATGTCCACGCCGGCAAACCGCTCCTTGCCCAGAAGCAGAACAGGTTCCAGCAGCTAAAGGAACAGGGGGCGTGAGAGGATTCTGGATCATAAGCTGGGCAGCTGAGCCACCTCACTGAGCACATTCCCCCTTATTTCTCTCCAAATGGCTTCTGCCACCACTGGCCTCCAAGTACCAGAGAAAGAGGGCTGGGCTGTCACCGTGAGGCCCACGACACAGCCAAGAGACAGCGAGGCTCTGAAGACAGATGAGAGATTCCTGAAGGCTACCTGAGCTGGGTTCCCTACTTGCGTCCCTCTCTTGCTCTCAGATTCCCCATCTTTCCCCATCTCTAAGACTGGTTCTTG